TGGGCCTGGCATTTCCAGTGAGCATGCACCCACACTAAAATGTGTTACTCTTTTCAGTTTTCTCACATCAGTTTTCGTGTTGCATCGTTCATTTTGGTATCAAATTGTTCGCAATAGAATTTTCTAAAGGGATATATGCACATAAGGTCAAAAAGCCCGGCGTGCCACCTGCAGCAAACCCAAAAATTGACTAAGCATTTCCTATGAGTGAGCACACATCTGCGCACCAACACTATAATGTGTATACTCTGTTCAGTTTTCTCACCTCAATTTTCATGCTATATCATTCATTCTGGTATCAAGTCGTTCACAGTCTAAAGGCACGCATTTTAAAACTAGTCCCATGATGATCGGGAATTTTAACAAATATTTTAATTTTTTTACACAAAATGCATCACCAACAGACATCCTTCGAGTTATTTATGGACACAACATCCTTAACCCTCAAACCTCTAGGGGTTCAAATGGATTTAACACCCACAGGCGCAACAAAACAAAAAAATCCAAAAAATTATTTTGTCTTATAGAGGTGTTCATTTTTGTTCCCTGATCACCGAAAAAAAAAATCGTAGGTGGCATATTTTAGCCGCAATAAGGTAGGGAAGTCTGGCAAAAAAGGGGCGTTGACAGAGCCTTCGCCAGACGAGGTCTACTCCGCTCGAGCTGTCAGGCGGCAGTTGCCACAAATATATTATTACCTAATTATTTCAATGTCTCTGATTTTTTCTTAGTTTTTTGCAGTAATATTATTCAATAGTGTGAATTGTGATATATTTATATAATAAAATGTGTGAACCATCGCTGTACTCAAAATTATGGTGTGCATATTAGTGATTCAATTATTATGTTCATAAAACAATAAACAAATAGTTTTGCTGTTATTACACTATATACACAGGTTATATATAAGTATCTGCATGTTTTGCTCACCATAACAAACCACTAAGTTGGTATTGTAAGTCAGAATGCAACGAGGAGTAACGCCACACACCAGCCAGCCACTCACTGCCACTTCCTCCCTCAACAACACCTCACTCGTCCTCATTCTCCTCCCACAATACTATTTTTGCATTTATTCACTATACCCAGACATTATATATATAAGTATTTACATGTTTTGTTCACCATAACTGTACATCTAAGCTTGTATGGTGAGTAAAGGCACAAAGACGTAGCTACTCACACAGTCAGCTGGTGGCGGCCGCCCTCAAGGCCAGACGCACTAATATTTTTCCTCCAACAATATTGTTTGTGGTGTTATTACGCTATATACACACATTATATATAAGTATCTACCTGTTTTATTCACCATACCTGTACAAATAAGCTGGTATGGTGCTCAAAGACCATAGTGGCCACCAGTAAACAACATGACAAGTTGTGCAGACGACGCACCTCCCTCACCAAAATGGTGGCTCCCAACCTACTCCTATTGCTGTTATTACACTCTATACACACGTTATATATAAGTATCTACATTTGTGTTCACCATAGCGAACCACTAAGCTGGTATGGTGAGTGCAGTCAATAAAAGGTGGCCACACACAGTCAGAAGACGATGCCACCACCCTCCCTCCCACAGCATTACTCCTCCCTCCATGGAGCACAGCGCTAAATATCACCACAATCCTGCTATTATCAGAATCCTGGTCAGTTTTATCACAGTCAGGGGTCTTCTGTAATACTATCATCGCTAAATAATAGCATGAACATATATATTATGGCATTTGTAGGCGATGCTGTGGTCACAAGCTGAACAGCGGTGCTGTGAGCTCGTGCTGTGTGCGCCAGCCTTGGTGGCTTGCTCAATACTGAAGCTCTTACACCCAAGAATGTTGGCCTGGATTTTTTTTCTAGGTGGCTCTGGCAACTATCGGTCGTGGCTGCACTATAGCTGCCCCTATCCCAGGCGGGAGAGCTACGCTCGTGGTGTCCCGTCTTCCCAGCACTCTTTGTCATATAACGCTTTGAAACTACTGACGGTCTTGGCCTCCACCACCTTCTCACTTAACTTGTTCCAACCGTCTACCACTCTATTTGCGAAGGTGAATTTTCTTATATTTCTTCGGCATCTGTGTTTAGCTAGTTTAAATCTATGACCTCTTGTTCTTGAAATTCCAGGTCTCAGGAAGTCTTCCCTGTCGATTTTATCAATTCCTGTTACTATTTTGTATGTAGTGGTCATATCACCTCTTTTTCTTCTGTCTTCTAGTTTTGGCATATTTAATGCTTCTAACCTCTCCTCGTAGCTCTTGCCCTTCAGTTCTGGGAGCCACTTAGTAGCATGTCTTTGCACCTTTTCCAGTTTGTTGATGTGCTTCTTAAGATATGGGCACCACACAACAGCTGCATATTCTAGCTTTGGCCTAACAAAAGTCATGAACAATTTCTTTAGTATATCGCCATCCATGTATTTAAATGCAATTCTGAAGTTAGAAAGCATAGCATAGGCTCCTTGCACAATATTCTTTATGTGGTCCTCAGGTGATAGTTTTCTATCTAGAACCACTCCTAGATCTCTTTCTTTATCAGAATTCTTTAAAGATTTCTCACATAATATATAGGTTGTGTGGGGTCTATGTTCTCCTATTCCACATTCCATAACATGACATTTATTAACATTAAATTCCATTTGCCAAGTGGTGCTCCATATACTTATTTTGTCCAGGTCTTCTTGAAGGGCATGACAGTCATCTAAATTTCTTATCCTTCCTATTATCTTAGCATCATCAGCAAACATGTTCATATAATTCTGTATACCAACTGGTAGATCATTTATGTACACAATAAACATCACTGGTGCAAGAACTGAACCCTGTGGTACTCCACTTGTGACATTTCTCCATTCTAATACATTGCCTCTGATTACTGCCCTCATTTTTCTATCAGTCAGAAAATTTTTCATCCATGATAGAAGCTTACCTGTCACACCTCCAATATTTTCCAGTTTCCAGAACAACCTCTTATGTGGAACTCTGTCGAAAGCCTTTTTTAGGTCCAGATAGATGCAGTCAACCCAACCATCTCTTTCCTGTAATATCTCTGTGGCTCGATCATAGAAACTGAGTAAATTCGATACACAGGATCTTCCAGATCGAAAATCATACTGTCTGTCTGATATTATATCATTTCTCTCTAGGTGTTCTACCCATTTAGTTTTGATTAGTTTTTCCAATACTTTCACTATTACACTTGTCAATGATACAGGTCTATAATTGAGGGGGTCTTCCCTGCTGCCACTTTTGTAGATTGGAACTATGTTAGCCTGTTTCCACCCGTCTGCTACGATTCCTGTACACAGGGATGCCTGAAAGATCAGGTGAAGTGGAATGCTGAGCTCAGATGCACATTCTCTCAGAACCCATGGTGAAACGCCATCTGGGCCAGCTGCTTTGTTCTTACCGAGCTCCTTGAGCATTTTTTCCACTTCGTCTCTAGACACCTCTATGTGTTCTATGTTGTTCTCTGGAATTCTTATTGTATCTGGTTCCCTAAAGATTTCATTTTGTACAAACACACTTTGGAACTTTTCGTTTAGTGTTTCACACATTTCCTTTTCATCTTCCGTGAATCTATTTCCCATTTTCAACCTCTGAATATTATCCTTTACCTGCAATTTGTTGTTTATGAATTTATAGAATAGACCTGGTTCTGTTTTACATTTGTCCGCAATCCCTTTTTCAAAATTTCTTTCTGCCTCTCTCCTCACTGCCGTGTAGTTGTTTCTCGCATCTTTGTATCGCTGGTATGTTTGGGGGTTCGGCCTCTTCCTGTATCGATTCCATTTTTGTGTCTTTCGGTCTCTAGCCCTCTCGCAATTTCTATTGAACCAATCCTGTTTCCTAGTTCTGCATCTCTGTTTTGGTATAAATTTTGTTGTGCCTTTATCATATATTTCACAAAACTTGCCATACATCTCATTCACTTCCTTGCCTAGCATCAAGTCTGTCCAATTATACTCACTAAAAAAATTTCTAAGGTCACCATAATGTCCTCTCCTGAAGTCTGGTTTTTCAACTGCTTCAACCTCCTTATTTTCTTCCAGCTTATAACGCATTGCATACTTTATTCCCAAAAAGACATGGTCACTTTTACCCAAGGGAGGAAGGTACTGAATGTCAAATATCTCTTCCTCCTTCCTGGTAAATATCAAATCTAGCATGGAGGGAACGTCCCCTTCCCTCATCCTCGTAGCTTGTTTAACATGTTGATACAAGAATGTTTCCAGGATGAGGTCTACAAATTTACAGGTCCAAAACTCTTCTGTTTTAGCTTCATATGCTTCCCAGTCTATGGATTTCAAGTTGAAGTCACCGACTATCAACAGTCGTGATCTATCGTTATCCGCTCTCGCTATAATCTCTCTCATTATTGTTATAAGACCTTCACATTTACTATCTAGCTCCTCCTTTGACCATGTGCTGCTTGGCGGTGGACTATATGCATTTATCATCATTAGTTTATCATCCTCATAGCAGATCTCTAGTGCTATTATGTCAACTTCTTGTGGATTGGCAGTCATTATTTCCTTCACCTTTAGGTGTTCTTTTACCAGGTAGGTAGGGGTGTTTAAATTGTAGTGCTAGACACAAAATTATATATATATGATATGCGCGGTTTCGGTTTTGTCACCGAAATCATACATATATGATTTGCTTGGTTTAAGGGTTAAAGTCAACTTAAAATGATAACCAAAGATTTGCCTAGGGGGTCAAAGTTTTATGGTAACTGCACTTTAAGGGTTAAGCATTAGCCATTGATGAATGGCATGCTTATGTAAAAAAGAATTCAAGCCTTCAAACATAAAGTTGTCACTATAAACATTTGCTTTTATCTTATTACTGTATTTACTCTGTTAAGGTAGCATTTGTTCCCCCCCCCCCCATCCCCCTCCCTCAGCCAACCAACAAAATATTGTTTGTGTGTGTTTTGCTGTTGGTTTCTCATGTAATTATTCTTGGACATGGGATAATTAGAACCATGTTTTAATGTTTTTGCAGATGTTTGAAGACTTGTTATTCCAGTGACCAGCTGAACTATAACTCTGCCTCAGACACGTCTGAAAGATACTTCACCCCATACGAGAGAGACTGTAATGGCGTGGATACTGGTGATGATATTGACAACTTCCATGACCCTATGGTAATTATTTGAGAAGTTTATTTATTTATTTGATACAGTAATATGGGTCTTTTTTTTTTTTAATGATGTCTGTACTGTTGTATGAAGAAGCAGATACAGTAGAGAAGTAAAAAAAAACAGTATAAATCAATCATCATCCATGTTATATGTTATTATCCAGTTATAGATACCATAATGAAAAAAGACTGGCAAGAGAAATGGAACTTTGTGTAGAATAAACACAAAAGTATAAAACCAGCAGCATTCTCAGAGCCATTGTTGTGCCAGGAAAGCAGACACTAGGAGGTGTCTGCTCACTAAATTACAACACAACCACCCAAGAATAGCTCTTGGACACCTTCTTGGTAGTGAAGGAAGGATAATGAATGTGATGTTCACAGAGAAAACCTCGCAGTTAAGTTAAGCACTTATTAACCTTTAAAGTGCATTTATCATCATACATTTATTTAAGTTATTATTGTCTAGATTTTACACTAGTGGTGCCAATAGTCCCTGTGGCACTGTGAGGGTTACTGGGGGAAAATGATGTTTCCTGATTACTGTTGCTTCCTGCAACAACATGCAGTTGCATACAGCAGGACCAACACCAGTGATGGTCACACTGCTAGAGGTCACTTTGCAGAAAGCCAACTACCAAACAAACAAACCTCGAGGCGTGAGCAAAATGCCAAGGTCCCAATATCCCAGGTGGAGATGAAAGTTAGGACAGCCCCCGACTGCCACAAGCAATTCAGGGCTCCTTCTGACATTTAAATCATTTGTTCTTCAGCTTGCTTGCAAGCAAATATAGAAGATAACGAATGGGTCACATCGAATTTGTAGTACAGAACACCACTTGGTTTCCGAATTTTAGTTATCCGAAACTTCCAGTTTCCCGATTGGGGTTGGGGAGTCATACTACCCGAACAAAGTTCGGGTAGGAAGGGGTCCACCAAGCGTCGCGCCGGCCTGTGGTGGTGGGTGGGAGATGGTCCAGTTTGCTCACCGTGACTTCACAGATTCACGGCCTATTATTCATATTATTTTGAATTGTCTTGAGGCTGGAATGTTCATTCTGTGCTTTTTGTTTTACATATCTGCACAATCAAGAAACATCTGTGCACCATGTCGGCTCCAAATGCACGCATTACATCAGTGATGGCTGACTGGTGGGTGGACGGATGGGAGAGCTTAGGTGGGAGGCAGTATGAGAGAGGTGGAGAATCAGTGAGAGAGAGGGAGAATTAGTGAGAAAAGGAGGGAGGGAGAGATGCTAGGAGAAAGGGGGGAGGTAGGCAGGAAGGGAGGGAAGTAGTGAGGGAGGATGGGCGAATTAGGGAGGGAAAGGCAGGCAGGCAGGCTGGCAGAGGAGGAGGCAGGCAGGCAGGCTGGTAAGGAGGCTGGCGGGCAGGCTGGCAGGCTGGCAGGTAGGCAGGCAGGGATGAATGGGTGTTGAGGTGAACCACGTGACCTTTGAGAGCGTGTGTGTTAATGCTTTGAAATTACTGACGGTTTTGGCTTCCACCACCTTCTCACTTAACTTGTTCCAACCGTCTACCACTCTGTTTACAAAAGTGAATTTTCGTATATTTCTCCGGCAGCTTTGTTTCATTAGTTTAAATCTATAACCTCTTGTTCTTGAAGTTCCCGGTTTCAGGAATTCTTCCCTATCAATTTTATCGATTCCTGTTACTATTTTGAACATAGTGATCATATCGCCTCTTTTTTTTCTTCTATCTTCTAGTTTTTGCATATTTAATGCCTCTACCTCTCCTCGTAGCTCTTGTCCTTCAGTTCTGAGAGCCACTTAGTGGCATGTCGTTGCACCTTTTCCAGTTTGTTGATGTGCTTCTTAAGATATGGGCGCCATACAACCGCTGCATATTCCAGCTTTGGAATAACAAAAGTCGTGAACAATTTCTTTAGTATATCGCCATTCATGTATTTAAAAGCAATTCTGAAGTTAGAAAGCGTGGCATAGGCTCCTCGCACAATTTTCTTTATGTGGTCCTCAGGTGATAGTTTTCTATCTAGAACCACCCCTAGATCTCTTTCTTTATCAGAATTCTTTAAAGATTTCTCACATAATATATAGGTTGTGTGGGGTCTATGTTCTATTCCACATTCCATAACATGGCATTTCACAGTCTTAGTGGGCCAGCCAGAGGCTTAGGGCCCGCACAAGAATTTCCCTGCAAAAAAAAAAAAAATCACAGCCAGGGGTTTACAGCCAGAGTCAACACCTGCATCAGAAGAGCTCCAAGATATTTCAAATTCCTAAGTACTATATTTTAGAACAGGTTGATGACCGTGAGTGGTGTCTCAAGAAACATATATGTGTAGTGTATTTGAAAAATAGGCGAGTTAAAACGAATGTGCCAGGGACAGTGAAATAATTGGATGAGAAAAGGTTGCCAGTGTGTAAACAGTGCAAACGACAAAATTCATCATGGCTGCCGGCAAGAAACAAACAAAACACAGCTAGGTTTTGGTGGATTATATGAGCAAAGTATTAATATAAGCAGTCTACACAACAAGTAGGCAAAATTAGACATTATTGTGAACAATTATATAGAAATAAGCAGTAAATTGAGAGAAAGTAATGACCACTTGAGTAGCAAAGTATTAGATCTTGAAGGGCTAGAGCAAGACTTATGCAAGGAAAAGAATCAATGGGAAGGTAAAAGCCAAGCCATCGAAGAGGAAAATAGTCTTGAAAATAGCTTTTGCAAAATTAGACATTATTGTGAACAATTATATAGAAATAAGCAGTAAAAGTAATGACCACTTGAGTAAGGGCTAGAGCAAGACTTATGCAAGGAAAAGAATCAATGGGAAGGTAAAAGCCAAGCCATCGAAGAGGAAAATAGTCTTGAAAATAGCTTTTGAAGAAGTTAAAGCAAATATAAATATACATGACTATACTAGGTTGGGTAAGGGAATCCAACAGGAAAAACAGCTTTTGTCAGTATAGATGGAGGAAGTTACACAGGAAATAGAACAGTATATGCAACTCACCTATTCACAAGTTGCCAAGGAGAAAGTAAAAAATAGAAAATAGAAGAAGCAGTAAAGGAAGCCAAACACTGTAGCAAACAGGATAAAACAAACATAAGGCTAGAAGTCAGAAAGGAGTTGGCATCAGACCCGAAATTGGTGCAAACCACAATCGATCGAAGTAAGTCTCAATTAATTTTTGGTTGAAAAGAAAAGGACATAATACAGTGACACCTCAACTTATGACTGCCCCTACTCACAAATTTTTTTTAGTGACGTAAATTTCGACGGAAAATGCGACTCGACTTATGACTGTGTCCTCAACTAACAACCTTTGTTGATACGCGTTTGGGTCGACCAAGTGCATGGTTCTTGGTGGCACGGCTGATCATGCCTCAGTTTACCAGAGCCGCCCGCTTAGTGACGATCGCGCTTGTAAAGAATTCCATTATTTTGGTGCTTTTTTGTTTTTGAACATAAAAGTAGTTATTATATATCACACCATGGGTTCCAAGACAGTGAGTGGTAAGGTTCAACCTAAAAAAACACATGTGAGGATGACCATAGAGCAAAAATATGAGATCATTCATAAACATGAAGATGGTGTGTGGGTTGTTGAACTAGCTAGGCAGTAAAACAAATCTATGTCAACGATATTCACCATACGTGCTAAGAAAAAGGACATTATGAGTGCTAAAGTGGCAAAAGGCATAACAATAAACACAAAACATAGAACACAAACACTTGAGGATGTTTAACAGTTATTATTAATTTTCAGAGTTTCAGAGATAGCATTTCAGAGGCCATCATTTGTGAAAAAAGCAAGGAAATTGCATGACGATCTTATAAAGAACAGCCTTGGAACGAGTGATGCAGATGCGAAAGAGTTTAAGGCGAACAGGGGATGGTTTGAGAAATTTAGAAAAAGAAGTGGCATTCATAGTGTTGTGTGTTGTGAATTGGTGGAGGAACACAGCAAAGAACTGACCACCGAAGAACTTTACAAGGAGCAGCAACAAGAGACAGCTGAGAAAATTTCTTCAGGGAAATTTCTTGCGTTCGATGTGGATGTCACTTTTGCTTCGTTCTGCAAGCTTTCTCGGGCGTTGTTTCACCTCTGGGCTGTTTATGCTCCGCATGAGTCGTCCTGGTTGTTGGACTGGGTGCTCTCTTTTCTCTCTCTTCTTCTTGGTTTGTAATGGCCCCTTCAGTTCAGGACTGTTTTTGTATGCTGGTGTTTTCTTTATGCTGGATTGCATGCACCTAGGGTTCTCTTCCCTAGGTACCCTTCCGTTGCGTGTCTTGGTTCTCTTACCTGCGAAGTACTTTTCTTGTTAGCACTGGCCTCTGGGGGGGGTTGTGTCTGGGAGTTTCATGCTCTCTTGTGGCACGGGGGTTTCTACTCTTTCGGTCCTGAGGATTGGTTTCTTCATTTGCAGCCGTCTCTCTCTTTTCTGGCCAAAAATGAGACGGCTGCTTTCCGGAGGGATCATTGGGTTGTTGATATATGATTGGTTTAGAGTGGGGTGCATGGTGTTTTGTATCCGGTTGCGACTCTTCATCGTTACTTACACTCCACAGCTTCGGTGGCAGGGGACGTGCTTTTGGTTGACCTGGGTTTACCTTCTTCCCTGTTCCAGGGCACGGGTCTCCCAGTTCATTATCTGCAGGATTATTTGGTCCAGCCAGCCTGTGGTCTATCCTCGTGCCCATGGCGTTTGTAAGTTCGCGGCTTTGACGGCTGTTTTTGGCAGTATGTCCTGGGCTGACATTCGGGCATGGGACGTTAGGAGGTCGAACATGGTCCTGGCCGCAGCATACCTCCTTAATGTTCCTGGCACTTCTCAGGCTTGTGTAGCCTTGGGTTGCAGGTTGCATCCAGTTGTCTCGACTTCGAGTTGAGGAGCAAGGGACAGCCGCCTCCCAGGTAAGTCCCTCTTTTACTTTATCTTTGGTTAGGTAGCTCCGGGGAGCGGAATGAGCTTCCCACAGAAAATCAGCATCGAATATAATGAAATGCCATTTTCTGGGTGAGACCTGGAGGTCTGGAGGCATCCCTCCATCCATCAGGTCGGCAGTTTTTGCATTTTTTATATTCAGCCTCTGAACTGGCATTGGGTAGCTGGCGCAGGAAGTCTGGGGGGCCCCCTTTTCCCTCTCCGAGGAAGGAGGGGAGCTGCGCAGACAGCGTGTTAGCTTGTTTTCAGATTGGGGAGTTCTGCTTGCTCGTTCAGCTTTCGGTTTGCAATTTTTAACCAGCTGTAGTTTGCGTTGGGATTCCTACCTTTCTGGGTGCCTGACCTGGTAGATGGCAGACACAGACTGCTTCCAACTGCACGGGGGGTGTCTATAGGCCATTGCACCTCGTGCCTCTCTGAGGAGGCCAGGTTCTGGCTGGTGGTCCCAGGTAGGCTAGAAGTCCATCCATATCAATTGACTGTTGCCACGGTCTAATATATACACATCAGCCTGGTATAGCTCTGGGAAGCCTCCGGGTCTCACCCAGAAAATGGCATTTCATTACATTCAATAATGGTCTTATGGGCAGGTTAGTGAAAATTGAGGAATTGAAGGAAAACTTCTTATATCTGAAAGGAGCATTTCCCAGCAGCAGGATGAAATTACCAGCTTGACTGCAAAGGTGAAGAGACAGGAATTATAAATCAAAGAACTTGAAAAAGAAAATGATACATGAAAATTGAAAGGGGGGGGTTGGGGTTTGAAGAAATTTGCTGGAAAATTAGTACATAAAGGTCATTGAGTAAATTGAGTTTTGGGTGGACAGTTATGCCAGTATTTAGAATCTGGTTTGTGAAGGAACCTGGTGGGGCTAGGTCAGAAATCAGATGCTTATGGGCATTAAACTCGAAGACTTGCAGTGCAACAAAATTTTCTTTAAATGTATGGTGAGATATGAACTGGAAATGTAAACTTGAATAACTATGTCCTATTAATATCATTGTGTATGTCAATCATAACTATTTTGTTTTTGTTTCTAGGGAAAAGCAGACAGTACATCTTTCAAGTCGGATCACACAACTAACACAAGTGGTAGGGCATCTTCCTGCAGAACTGGAGACAACTTCTCTATATCCAGTGGTGAGACAATCAACAACTTTGATGGAACAATAGAACATAAGGTATGTAGAGTATTGCCAATACAAAGAACCAGGAGGAATTAATTTCAGTGTTGGTTTTATTACTGTATATGGAATAATTTTACAATATTTGAGCTAAATCAGCAAGAGAAAAAAAACAAAAAAAAAGTGTTCATGATTAGAACCTGATCCCCTCAGAGAGGCGCAGGGAGCAATGGCCATATGAGCACTCTACATTTAGAGCTTGTCATGTCTGCCATTGACCAGGAATACCACCAGAAGGGTTGGCGAAACAATACAAACCCCCAACTGATGAAAATTACAGCCTACGTCCGAACAGATCCAAAGAACTCCCCCCAAACGAAAAACAAACAAGCAAATCGTCATCCAACTAGCACGCCTGCTCGTTAGCAAAAAAAAGTTTGAAAATTTATGAAAAAAAAAAGAGCTTCCCCCCCTTCAATAGGGGGGGTGGGGAGTCCGCTCAGGTGAGCCAGCTGCTCACCTCACCAGTTCATTGACTGATGTGCCTGGTGTCAACACATCTCTGGCCTCATTTTATTGACTGGCTTTTGCATTTGTGGCTTTACCAGCTTTGTGTGGTGTGGTGGCCAGATGTTGTCTTTATGCTGGGCTGCATGCGTCTAGGATTCTCTTCCCTAAGTGCCTGGTAAGTACTTCCCTTGCGTTTCTTGGTTCTCTTCCCTGCGACGTTCGGATCTCGCTGTTTGAGGGCTTTGTCACTTGACATTGTTCTCACCCTTGGGGTCCATCGTGGGTCTTGGGCTTCCCATCTTGCTCCAGGTAGGGAGTGGGTTTTTGCTGGGTGGGGGCCACTATGGCTGACTCAGCCTGCATACGGCGACAGCCGACGATTCTCTCTGGGGACCAGTTTGTTTGTGTTGCTTTAAGGGATTTTTTTTGTGTGTATGGCGTATTTGCTTACTTTTGGTGGAGAAGGTCTGCTTAGCTTTCCATTTGGCATGCCTAGGTTGTGTTGGTGGTCCTCCTCTTTTGCCCCAAAGTTTCATGGCAATTACCAGTTGTCAGTTTGCTGGCTTAGCTAGCCCCAGTGCCTGGGCTTTCCGTAGGGCTAACATATCCTTTGGGGCCCTGGAAAATCCTGTTGGCTCTGGAAAACCCTGTTGGCTCGGGGGTACCATTAATGCATCTTCCGAGCCCTGTCTCGCCAAGTGCGATGCTGAAGATTGTTCGTTGCCCCTGCCTCCCGGTGACGATCACCCGTACTGCCACCATCATGCTGCCTGTTGGGTCAGTGACACCTATGACCCTGAGTGTTGCGGGATTTGTTCTCCACTTGTCATTCAGTTTACTCATTCCTTGTGTTGGGAACCGACTCGTGAGATTTATATTTATTTAATTTATATGAATTTATATAGAATTCATATTTACGTTAATTTATATATTTTGATAGCAATTTGTATGATGTTTAGCGGACTGTATTTCTGCAATATTCTCACAAATCGACTCCTTGCACATTAGGGGGTTTATATTAAATTTATATATATGCAGCCAATCAAATTACAGTATTAAACTACATATATTAGTAATAATAATTTAGATCTTATCTTATTGTATAGTAGACTTAGTCCACCAGGTTTAACCTTTTAACTGCGCAACGCGCCTGCAGGCCCAGGCTTCGGGTGTGCAACGCGCCTCCGGGTGTTTTTATTTTTCACGTTCCATTCAAAACTCCCGCGGCTAAATGGGGGTTCACATCAGCTTCCTCAGGGCTCTTGTAAACAGACGCCATCTTTAAAAAAATTCATGGTCCACATTGCCGGGTGCCAGAGCCTCAGTAGTGAGTGAGCAACCAAGGCTGGCGCTCGCAGCATGAGCGCCCAGCTCTGCTGTTCAGCGTGTGACCACAGCATCGCCTAATAATTTCAAAATATATATATAACCTGTATTATTTAGCCATGATAGTATTATAGAAGAGCCTGAGTGTGATAATGACTGAGTACAATGTTCAAATATCAGTGATTCAATGCGGTTCACGATGTTCACAGCGCTAGCTACAGCACCACAGCATTATTTCGTCCATCTAGGAATCTTCAAACAACTTCTTAGGTTCCTTTTCAAAATAAACTTGTGGTCAATTATTCATTTACAGAAATTAGTGACCAGGATTGTGGCTATAATGACAGAGCCAGAGTGCATTGGGGAATTGTGTGAAAATCATGGTCTGGCTTCATGGAAGCCTCAGGAAATCCTTGTGAGTTCAGTAGAACTTCAGGTTGCAATCCTTTTCACCATGTCTTGGCCTAGTTGACTAGGGTGTGTGCATGGGAACACCCACCACATAAATTCGAATCCTCATCACATTTATGGATTTTCACATTGATACATCACGTTAGTGTGATTGCTCTCTGTGAATATTATTATTGTTGTACTATTATATTGTTAATCAAATGTCCTTGAGACGATAATAACAACATTGTAGATAGTTATATATAATGTGTGTATACTGTGTAATGTAATAACAGCAAGAACAGTACGGTACAACCTTGATTCAATGCATTATATGGGACCAACCCCAGTGCGTTGGAGCATTGGATTTGTTGCAGGAGGTGACCTTCAGGAGGCGTTTGCGTCAGTGTCTTTTTTCTTGTACACAATAAAAATGCATTATCATATTATATACTGTGCCTTTATATTACTACTCTACTAAAAAATAATGTGTTACATTTGTTATTTATCTTGTTGTTGGAGTTATGTCCATCTTGAAGTCTCATGGAGTTATGAATGCTATACAGTAAATACGTACTGTTGTGCAACACTGTGTTGATAAGTAGTTCTGCTGTGTGTTGAGTACTACAATACAGTTTATGAAAACTATTGTACACTAAAATTACTGTACTGCAACCTTAATTTTAACACTAACACTATGTACTTAAATTAAACACTTATTCTAACTGTACACTTCACACACGATGTTCTTAGATGTTTGCATCAGGTTTTTTTTGAGCTCGCTGCTCTTGTGGTTTGCTTCAGCTGCTTCTGAGCAGGTGCTGGCTGCTGTTGTACTGGTGCTGGGTATAGCTGTGCTTGTCGTGGGTAAGGCCGTGCTCGTGCTAGGTATGGCTGTGCTCGTCCTGGGTATGGCCGTGCTTGTGCTGGGTATGGCTGTGCTCATGCTGGGTACGGCTGTGCTCGTGCTGGGTACGGCTGTGCTCATGCTGGGTATGGCTGTGCTCGTGCTGGGTATGGCTGTGCTCGTGCTGGGTATAGCTGTGCTCGTGCTGGGTATAGCTGTGCTCATGCTGGGTACAGCTGTGCTCGTGCTGGGTATGGCTGTGCTCATGCTGGGTATAGCTGTGCTCGTGCTGGGTATGGCTGTGCTCGTGCTGGGTATGGCTGTGCTCGTGCTGGGTATGGCTGTGCTCGTGCTGGGTATGGCTGTGCTCGTGCTGGGTATGGCTGTGCTCGTGCTGGGTATGGCTGGGTACAGCTATTTCATAACATTGTTTGTAACATGAGATATTCTGGTGTAAGAAATGGGATTTTGAATAGAGTATAGGTTTTCAAAGCTGTTTTAATTTTTATTTGTAACGTTTTAAAATGGTGGTGTTCACTCGATATCTGATTATAAAATAATTTCACATTCAAGTAGCATATCAATTAATGTGATTATTTGCACTGCAGGTCCCAGTAGATCAAGCACATATGGATGAAATGTGCCTAAAAGTGAAGGAATTAAAGATTCGACGAAAGTCCAGCAGTAAGGAGAATTTATTAGACACTCAGCGCTGCAACAAAACACGAGGTTCAACAGAGACCCTTCACACCTTCAATGACCGAGCTGGAGAAGGTGAAGAAGATGAGGGCAGAAAAAAGACAAAATACATGAAGAAATTGAAACAGGAGTGGATTGCAAGGAGTCTTACAACGCTAGCACCTCGGTAAGAGGGTTTTTCTCTATTAATAGTACAGTATATTTTTCACATCCGAAAGATGACTGACGGTTATAGTTAAAGCTCCATCTTTGACCTTATATTTTCTATGGGGGGGGGGAGCCCCGTCGGCTCCTGGTTGATACCTGGTTGATCCCTGGTCCAATAGCTCCCTGGAGCTATTGGACTGATATTAGCTAATATTAGTACGGGGCTTCAATCATATGGAGTTGTCATGCCTACCGGAGACCACTACCCAGAACATGGTCCCCTCAGAGAGGCGAAGGAAGCAGTGACCTATGAAACTCACTTGTATGATAGTACCTTGGTTTTGGTATGATAGACCTTGGTTTTGTCTGCGCCCCTTTGTCCGCCACATCAACACTTTCCTTGTTGATGTGGATCACTGTTCTCCTTTCACCCTGTATTCAGCTCCTAAATGTCTGAAGCAGGGTTCAGCTGGGGATGAGGCTCAGGCGGCTCTGGGGTTTGCCCCATTCAAACCGGGGACAGAGGCATTTGAGTCGGTTCCTCCCGCCGAGGCTCCTGGGTCCTTCCAGCAGGTCCCTTTCTTGAATGTCTTTTCCCTTGGACTCTGCCTTTCCTTCAAGGGTGGAGAGCATTGAGGGCAGCTCTGCCCTGGATCCTATTTTAGTGGATTTCGGGGCTGGGGGAGGCAACCTGATTTTCGTACCCCCTTCCCTCCCTTCTGTGTCCGAATTTTATTTCCCCCCCCCCCCCACCCCACCCCCGTTAATATCTGGCTCTGCACGCAGGTCAGTCTCTCAGAAGGGTCGCCCCCTTTCATAGGTTGCTCCATTGATGGTCCTGGGAGTCATTTTGTTCATTCGCAGCCTTTCCTTCTTTTCTGGCGAAAAATGAGAAAACTGGTTTCCGGAAAGGTTATTTGGTTGTTGATGCTTGGTTGGTTAGGCCAGGGGTGCATCATCTTGAGGTTATCTTGAGATGATTTCGGGGCTGTTACGGCCCTCTCGGGACGCAACGGGGTTCTTACTCTGATGTTGTTAGAGGAAGATATATCCGTTCCCAAGCCAGTAGTGGCTATCAAGGGATGTGATCCGTGACGCAAGTAACTTAAAGGGGGAAGGGAAAGAAAGTTAAGAACTTAAGATTGTAATTCACCATCACCAAATAAATAAATAAGATATAAAAGAGTGCACAGGGGGAGGGGTATAAACACTTATTTACAGGGGAAATACACTGTAGTCTTCTGCTGAAGACTATGGATCCTCGCTCTCTCTCGGTGCTGAGTCCTCGGTGCTTCCGTGGCCACACAACGAATTCTCTGAGAAGTTGAGCCTACCCTGGCCACAGGTCAGCCAAAACACAGGTCCACTGGGGGCACCACTGTGGAGGCCGTCAACCACAAATCCAGCAGGGGCTCTGCTGGCAGGTTCCGGACCCGCAACGCTGGTCAGGCCACTCCACGAACGATATAAGGGGAACGCCCTAGACAGGAGCCTCGTGTGACACCACAAATCACTCTCCTGTCCTTAATACCCAGTGGATGATCGTCTCCAACAGTCGGTCCCGGGTAATCCTTTTACTTCCACTCCACTGGCAGGGTAACACACCACAGTGTTCTTCCGGGGGGACGACTTCACAACAGCTGCAGCAAAGTACAAGGTATGGAGACGGCTGCCTCGGGTAGACTGACTCAACTTCCAACGCAGCAGTCCCAGGTCGACTCTGTAAGCAGACACGTCATCAATAACTCGGACACACTAAGGCACCTCACTTACAGGCTCAGACACAAATGCTCACCTATCCACTCCATAGATGGCGCAGTTGTCTGAGCACCACCTCACCAGAGGTCAGCAGCGGCTGTGTTGAGCGCTGAACAGGACTGGAAACTGGCCCTTGTGGCCAGTACACGCCGTCCTCACCAGGTGTCGTCGTCCGTTTGGAGGGGGTTTCGGGAGCTGACCCACAGATGGCGCGGTTGTCACTGCTCCGTGCTCGGACGCTGGATCCGGGTTCGTAACACCTCCCCACCAAAAGAATTTGGTTTGGGGTTCTAGAAAAAGAAACACAAACCAAATTAGTACGGCGACACAACTCCAGATGGACACACATGCTTCATAAACTGGAACGTCGAGGCTGTCTCGTCCACAGAACTGTCCTACTAGGCAATTCCGGCACAACGGGAACTTGAAGATTGAAGGCAATGTCCTGCCTGGCGTAACCTTCCACGTCTCCACTGCGATGTCAAGCAGGGGCATCATCTCACCTCTCCCGAGTAAGAATCAGTGTAGACACGATGAAGGGCGACTCGACACTTCCCTGTGTCATGGCACCGATGATGGCTGGACACAGACGGCATTTCTGGTACCGATCCGGCGGTCCTTCAGGGAGTCGGGCACCTGGAATACAGGGGTCTGATAATTCAGAGTGACAGCGACAGCGGGTAAAACAGTACTTACAGCATACTCTACTAGGTCCACACCTAGTCCCAACGGGGCTGTTCGTACGTCGCAGATGGCATTCGCTCTGCCACCGTCAGGTCGACCAACGTTCCGCATAACGCTGCATTGAGGCTCAGCTATCACGCGAGGGGTGTCAACCTGTCGGGAACAGTCACTCATATTATCCCATCTCGTACCTCCTGTATCTACCATCACTTTCCAGGTCCCTTCTTCAACTGCAACACTTGCAGTGCAAATCCCCAATCCCTGGGATCTCTTCACGATGTTCATGGGAGCCATCATCCTACGGGTCGTCCACTGGTCCTTACTGAGAACACTGAGAACACATACGAGAACACAACAAAATACCGCTAAGAGACATGCGGCCAACTGAGGAATAAGCTTCCTGAGTCTGTAATGTCCATAACCGGCTATATCCATTAGCCTGGTTTGGATCGAAGAGGGCTCTAGAACCTTCACACATACCTCACATACCTCTGACGTCTGGGGAATCTCTGGTCGGTTCAATGAACATGGTATCTTGCCATACCGCAAGTACTCATCTGCCTTCCCTCCAGACTCGTTGGTATCCGTGGGTGCCTGCACACAAGGCCTCTCTTCTAGCTCAGGTACTTCTGCCATCGTAACCTCATGTTCCTTGTCGAGAGAAGAATCAGGAGACTCTGCTAGAACACTGTTGACTCTGTCGTCAATCTGTAGGCGAGAGGAAGGATTAAACATTATATCTGAATCCGGGTCTGACTGTACCTGGAATTTACCACTGCCCGCTGTTACTTCAGACCTTGCTGTTCTGGCTGACTCGTCCACGACCTTGGGATGATTGGTGCTCCAATCGGTCACCAAGTCATTGGCTAGTACCACGTCAATCCCAGCCACAGGGAGGGTATCGACTACTGCCAACGCACATGTGCCGCTGAAGTAAGGCGAGTCGAGATGACGACTAAGGGGGCGATGTACCGCGTCCTTGGAAACCCGACCAGGACAACCTTTGGTCTCCCAACCACACTTACTCCCTCGGGTAACGAGCTCTTCACGATCAGGGACTGGGCTGCGCCACTATCTCTGAGCACTACAACTGATCTACCAGTATGATCACTCGATACATACCCGCCTGAAGTGTGAGGGGAAAACAATCTGGGTTCTTCCTGCGTAGTCGTAGACTGGTTTCCTGCTGGTGTTGTAACACAGCTCATCATCATCACCTCCCTACGTGCGCTGCCACCTCTTCTGCCTCGGCACCTAGCAGCTACATGCCCTTTCTGCCCACAAGTCCAGCACACCATATTCCTCCTCGGGCTCCGGTGTTTCGGACTGCTAGGACTTGTTCTTCGAGGGCTACTTGGGGGCGTCTTCTTAGCACTTTGTGGGACGGGTCTTTCCTCTTCGTCATGAGGTCTGTCAAACCGGCGCTGGTAATGCCTTGGGACGTACTTAGCAGACGGCCTATGAGTCAGGATATACTCTTCAGCCATGGTGGCTGCCGCACTCAAGGTCTCTACCTGCTGCTCTTCCAAGTACGTTTTTAGGTCTCCAGACAAACAATCCTTGAAGTCCTCTAGCAGTATCAGCTGCTCGAGGTCTTCCTTGGTCTCCACCTTCCGAGAGGCACACCATTCCTGGAAAAGTCGCTCCTTGATCGTGGCGAATTCGGTGAAAGTGTGCTCTGAGGTCTTCTTCAGGTTTCTAAACTTCTGCCTGTAAGCCTCAGGTACCAACTGGTAAGCCATGAGCACAACCTTCTTCACCTTGTCGTAATCGCTGGAGTCGTCAAGGGATAACGTAGAGTAGGCGATTTGGGCCTTCCCAGTCAAGACTGACTGTATCATGATGGCCCAATTCTCCCTTGGCCACTCCAAAGAGGCAGCGACTTTCTCGAAGGCTGCAAAGAACTTCGAAACTTCCCTCTCATTGAATTTGGGGACCATTTTGATGTTTCTTACCGGATCGAAACTGCTTGCTCCAGTTTGTCTCTGTCCAGCGCCTAATCGTAATACTTCTAGTTCATGTTGTCTCTGTCTTTCGTTTTCTTCTCTCTCTCGCTGTTCTCTTTCTCTTTCTCGTTCTTCTCTTCTTTCTTCTCGTTCTAGTTCTAAACGCCTCATCGCCAATTCTTTATCTTTTAATTCTCGTTCTAATTCTAACTTCTTCCACTCTATCTCGCGATTTATTTCTAAGGCGCGCATTTTGACTGTGAGCAAACTTATATTTAGCTCACCTGCATCACTGTCAACGTCGCTGCCTTTATCTTCCTTTTCCGTGGAAGCTATTTCCTCACCTTCCTTTGTACTAGGAGCCTCGCCTTCCTGTTTCTCTTCTGCCTTCAGGTGCCGGTGAACCTTGGACAAGATCTCCACACGGGAATCACTGGCACGGATCTTGATCTCCAGGTAGGCGCTCACTAGTACAAGCTCTGGTTTGCTCAGATATTTTAATCTGGCCAGACAGTCCTCTCTGTTCAGAAAAGCCTGCACATCGTCCAGATCATCGATGGTAGCTTTTTCTGCCATTGTCACAGATGGAACACTTAGCACTTAACACACCGCTTACACGTTAGCACTTAACGCACCGAGCACTGTTCTACGTCAATATTGCACTTTATCGCACCAAACACTGCACTTGCCAATATTACACGTAATTACTTCGGGCACCACACTACGCAATATCGCACTTAATAACAGCGAACCCTTCGCTCCACAATATTGCACTGAATCACTGAGCACCGCACTACTCAATATTGCACTTAATCGCTTAATCACAGCGAACACCGCACTGCACAATATCGCACTTAGTCACACTTGAGCACCGCACAGGACGTATAACGTCACAATCGTCACACAGGGGGAATTATATACAGGGATTACGCCACTTCACCACCCCTGTCAAACATACTTAACAAGGGGACGGATCCCGCTGGGGATGCCAATTATGTTACGGCCCTCTCGGGACGCAACGGGGTTCTTACTCTGATGTTGTTAGAGGAAGATATATCCGTTCGCAAGCCAGTAGTGGCTATCAAGGGATGTGATCCGTGACGCAAGTAACTTAAAGGGGGAAGGGAAAGAAAGTTAAGAACTTAAGATTGTAATTCACCATCACCAAATAAATAAATAAGATATAAAAGAGTGCACAGGGGGAGGGGTATAAACACTTATTTTACAGGGGAAATACACTGTAGTCTTCTGCTGAAGACTATGGATCCTCGCTCTCTCGGTGCTGAGTCCTCGGTGCTTCCATGGCCACACAACGAATTCTCTGCGAAGTTGAGCCTACCCTGGCCACAGGTCAGCCAAAACACAGGTCCACTGGGGGCACCACTGTGGAGGCCGTCAACCACAAATCCAGCAGGGGCTCTGCTGGCAGGTTCCGGACCCGCAACGCTGGTCAGGCCACTCCACGAACGATATAAGGGGAACGCCCTAGACAGGAGCCTCGTGTGACACCACAAATCACTCTCCTGTCCTTAATACCCAGTGGATGATCGTCTCCAACAGTCGGTCCCGGGTAATCCTTTTACTTCCACTCCACTGGCAGGGTAACACACCACAGTGTTCTTCCGGGGGGACGACTTCACAACAGCTGCAGCAAAGTACAAGGTATGGAGACGGCTGCCTCGGGTAGACTGACTCAACTTCCAACGCAGCAGTCCCAGGTCGACTCTGTAAGCAGACACGTCATCAATAACTCGGACGCACTAAGGCACCTCACTTACAGGCTCAGACACAAACGCCCACCTATCCACTCCATAGATGGCGCAGTTGTCTGAGCACCACCTCACCAGAGGTCAGCAGCGGCTGTGTTGAGCGCTGAACAGGACTGGAAACTGGCCCTTGTGGCCAGTACACGCCGTCCTCACCAGGTGTCGTCGTCCGTTTGGAGGGGGTTTCGGGAGCTGACCCACAGATGGCGCGGTTGTCACTGCTCCGTGCTCGGACGCTGGATCCGGGTTCATAACAGGGGCTTTTAGTGTCCCCGCGGCCCGGTCCTCGACCAGGCCTCCACCCCCAGGAAGCCGCCCATGATAGCTGACTAACACCCAGGTACCTATTTTACTGCTAGGTAACAGGGGCATAGGGTGAAAGAAACTCTGCCCATTGTTTCTCGCCGGCGCCCGGAATCGACCCCGGCACCACAGGATCACAAGTCCAGCGTGCTGTCCGCTCAGCCGATCGGCTCCTCATCATGTTTTGTGTCCTGTTGCGGCTTTATGTTGCTGTGTGCTACTGGTTCGGTGACTGTGGACATGCTTTTAGTGGATCCGGTTTGCCTGGTTCCAGGGTTCGTATCTCTCAGGTCGTCCATAAGGTTATCAAGTTTAGTCAGCCTGCGGTCTGCCCTCGTGCCCATGACATGAGGAAATATGCTGCTCTCACGGCTGTGTTTGGGAATATGTCGTGGGTCAATATTCGGGCGTGAGGGTTTTTAGAAATCGAACAAGGTCCTAGCCGCATGGTATCTTGTCAACGTTCCAGGCCCTCTCCAACCTTGTGTTACTTTAGGACATCTTTTGTGGAGTTTGTCTCATCTTCGTCGTGAGACCTGCGGTGCTGCTTTCCCTCGGGTAAATCCCCGTTTTTACTTATCTATGGGTATTTAGCTTCTGGGAGCCAATGGGGCTCCCCCACAGAAATCCAGCATTGAATGTAATGAAACACCATTTTCTGGGCAAGCCCCAGACTCTCTGGTGGTATACCCACTTTCTGGTGGTATTCCCGGTTGATGACAGACATGACAAACTCTAAATGTTGAGTGCTCATATGGCCACTGCTCCCTGCATCTCTCTGAGGAGGCCAGGTTCTGGCTTATGGCCCTCGGTAAGCACTCAAACTCCAAGGCCTGATGACACCAAACTAATATGGCACATGTCAGTTTGATAGCTTCAGGGAGCCTGCATGGCTTGCCCAGAAAATGGCGTTTTATTACATTCAACACTGGTTTTTAACCAAGCAGTAGATTGTTTTGAATTGCCTACCTTTCTGAGTGCTTCCCAGTTAATGATAAAAATGATAGACTTGAAAGGTACAGTATTCATGAGCCATTGCTCCCTGCACATTTGAGGGGCTAGGTTCTGGCTCATGGTCCCCGGTAGATATACAAGAACTCTGCAACTGTTGACACTCAAGTAATACAGCACTTAATCTGTAAGCTAGCTTCAGTAAGCCTCCGGGGCTTGCTCAGAACTGGCATTTCATTACATTCAATGCTGGTTTTCTTTGAGTTAGCAATAGGTTTTCCTCCTGACCTGCTGCTAACTCAACCTTCATTGCTTACTGGTTATATTCTTTCAATTTAATACAGGTATTTGCCATTCTGTATTGTCCAGTTTGTGGATGAATAGCAGATACAGTATGTTCTTTTGATTGTTATGTGTTTTATTTACAGTTATCAATGCCAGAGCCAGGAATGTTCCATCATGTCCAGTCTCACCAACTTCACTGCACCCGAGTTGCTGACGGGTAATAATAAGATCACTTGTGAAAATTGTACCAAAGTTCACAATCAGCTGCATCCAGGTATGTACCAAGAGTCCTAAAGCAAAATTGACCACAATTTATTGATTGCCTGTGCTTCCTGCAGTGTAAGATTCATAGATAATGCAGACACATTTACCCTTTTATTTGCATGAGCATAACACATACCTTTATTGAATGCTTAACCACTCTGCTGTGCCACTATTAAAACATTTTCGCTGCCTGATCACACACATTTCATCATAAAACCAACATACGCAGAGTGCAAGATGATGCAAACAACATCAATAATTAAAATTTTTTTAAAAATTCCACTTATTTTCCAAATACTACGGAACGTGTTTTAAAATGCACACCAACATCTTCCCATTCTCTTTATACCCCACTTGGCATCCCGACCCTGTGGAGTGGGCAGCCACCGACGCTGGAGACCCGTTGTTCTCTTGACCACACTCGTGACCATCACAGCCTCCCCCTAAAGTCGACAAGTTTCTCGTTTCACCTCATTCTTTTGGTTGCATATATGCCTGGGGACCATTCAGGCTTGTTTGCATTTGTGTTCCTCACATGTGCCCCAAAGAATGAGGTGATTTGATAAAATACTATGCCCAAGATTACCATCAGAGTGCCGGCAGGATGATGGGGAATTAGCCTCAGCTACAATCATCTTTTGTCCGGTCGTGTTGGTCGAGTGGTTAAGGTGTCCTGTACGCCAGTTGCAGAGTGCTCCTGGCAGTATGGGTTCGAGTCACTTCTGGGGTGTGAGTTTTCAGTTGCATATAGTCCTGGGGACCATTCAGGCTTGTTTGCATATATATATATATATGTATATGTCGTACCTAGTAGGAGTGAGGTGGGTGACGGAGGTGACGTCGTCTGCACGATTTGTCTAGCTGTTTAGAAGGTGGCCACTATGCTCTTTGGGCGCACTACAAGCTTAAGTGTACAGTTACGGTGCATAAAACATGTAGATACTTATATATAATATGTGTATATAGGGTAATAACACTGCAAACAGTATTGTTTTGGGGAGAAAGTTTAGTGGGTGTGACCTTGAATGAGTGAGGGAGCCGCCAGCCGCCATCTGTGTATAGCGACGACTCTTAGTGCCTGAACTAACTATATCAGCTTAGCTATACAGTTGTGGTGAACAAAATATATACATACTTATATATAACGTCTGTATATAGTGTAATAACACCACAAATGGTATTGTTGGGGAAGAAAGTTTAGTGCGTGTGTTGAGGGAGTGGCTGGCTGGTGTGTGGCGGTAACTCTTCGTTGCTTTTCGACTCTCAATACCAACTTAGTGGTTCGTTATGGTGACCAAAACATGCAGATACTTATATATAACCTGTGTATAGAGTGTAATAGCAGCAAAACTATTTGTTTATTGTTTTATAAACATAATAATTGAATCACTAATATGCATATCATACTTTTGAGTATAGCGATTATTCACCACTTTTATTATATAAATATATTACAATACACACTATTGAATAATATTACTGCAAAAAACTAAGAAAAAATCAATCGGAGACATTGAAACAATTAGGTAATAATATCTTTGTGGCAACTCTCATCTGTCAGCGCTGGTGACGCTGACCGGGTCTGACGACTGCTCTGTCAACGCCCACTTTTTGCCAGACTTCCTTGGTCAATTGCGCCCAAAACATGTCACCTACGATTTTTTTTTTATTTTTCCCGTGCTCAGGGGACACAAATTAACATGTTTAGAAGACAAAAAAAAAAATTTTTGAATTTTTTGTTTCTTGCGCACAGGGGTGTAAATGTCCCCAGGACCTCTGAGCAGTGTAAGGGTTAACCACTCGACCAACACGACTGGACAAAAGAGGATGGTAGCCGAGTCTAATTACCATCCCCCTGCCGGCACTCTGTTGGTAATCTTGGGCATGGTATTTTATCAACTCACCTCATTCTTTGGGGCACACGTGAGGAACACAAATGCGAACTGTAGCTCTGTTTAACTCAACAGTAAAATGGGTAGCCTCTTTTGGCTACTTTTCTAGTGCAGTTGTCCTGGTTGGCGCCTTCCCGCAGAGCGGGTTGTGCGGTTCGGCCGGCGTGTCATGCGCATGCGCCGTGAAGTTTGGCCCTGAATTGTTTGCAGTCATTTGCCTGTTTTGGTTCTTCCTTTTTCTTTGAACCTTGCAGTTGTCCGTATTGCTTCTTTTATTTTCTGGATAGTTTCTTTGTGGGGGTGATCATAACAGTTCCATGCTCTTTGTGCTTCTGTGAAGGGGACCAGGTTCTGGCTCTGGTCACCGGTAGGACATGCAAAACCCCCATGACTGTTTTTGACTCATTAGGTGGAACCAACTCTGTGAGATAGCTTCAGGGAGCCACCTAAGCTTTGCCAGGAAGAAGCATTTCATTACATTCAACTGCTGGTTTCTTTACTCCCACTTCTACATCATTTATGATAACTGCAGTCTGAGGGTTAAATATTATGTTGTAATGGAAAATTAATTGTAACATATCACTGAAACTTTGAAATTATTGGTACAGATGATGCAAAGGAATCCGTGAAGAGCAATGCCAGCAAACAAATGCTAATACTTTCACCACCTGCTGTGCTGACACTCCAGCTGAAGCGTTTTCATCACCTGGGCAGCAACCTTGCTAAAGTCAACCGTTATGTCCAGTTCCCACTAGTTCTCGACATTGCTCCGTTCACATCGTCAATCTCTCTGGTATGTATTCAAAGTATAATGTATGAAATTTAGTTATTACTTTCATCATCTTAAAATCTGCTTAACACTTTGGTTGTCCGGCCTCTCTGTGCTTTCCCAACTGTATACGTTCCAGAGACCCTGGGAGCCCCACTCAGCGACACATAAAATGTTTACTATCATTGAACCTTTTCAAAGTTATTTTCTGGGGGAAAACTCTTTGTGGCTTCATGAAGCTATGTGCTGAGTTGATTACAGTCTATTGAGTCACATCAGTCTTAGAGTTCTAAAGGCCTACCAGGGGACTTGAATCAGAACCCAATCCCCCTTTCAGAAGCACAAGGTGTTATGATAATTATTTTCACTGCCTCACCAAGGAAAGCCAATAGAAAGTCAGCGAGTCAAAACAAACTAATGCTGGATTCAAAATGGACCAAAGCCCCAAAAATGACCAAGAGAAATCCCCCAGCAATCTAAACAAATGATCAAATTCTCTTGGAACTATCATGAGCTTGTTTGCCCAACTTCTCCCACTTGTTTGGGGGGAAGGGAGGGGGGTAGGTAGTTCAATGCCTGCCGGAGCCTGAACTCCGAGTTCTAGTGCTGCTATAGAGGTTACTGGGTTGCCGTTCTTTTGTACATGTGCTGGTGTTCTGTTATTCAGCTCAATAGTGTGGTGTTTGCTCTTAGTGGCTATTTCTTACACTAGAGTGTAGCTTGAGCCTTGCTTTGACAGTGCTTAGAGATACATGTTCTCAGGGTTTCCTTCCCTGGGTGCTCCCTAGCACTGCTTTTTCACACTGGTGTGTTCCTGGATCTCTTCCTAAGAGGTCCTACTTCCTCGTTCATGACCTTGCTATTTTTATTTATTTATTTTTTATTTATTTATTTATTTATATACAAGCAGGTACATTGGGTTGTGAGGGTACATAATACTTATTCTTATATACTTGCAAAGTCACAAACACTCATGCTCATTATGGGGAACTCGGACATTTCTTTAAGGAATTTCACTGGAAAGACTTGCTGTTAGGACATGAAGTAAATGAGATGTATGTCAAATTTTGTGAAATATTTGATAAAAGCACAAAAAAATTTATACCAAAGCAGAGATGCAGAACTAGGAAACAGGATTGGTTCAACAGAAACTGCGAGAGGGCCAGAGACCAAAAGACACAAAAATGGAATCGATATAGGAAGAGGCCAAACCCCTAAACATACCAGCGATACAAAGATGCGAGAAACAACTACACGGCAATGAGGAGAGAGGCAGAAAGAAATTTTGAAAAAGGGATTGCGGACAAATGTAAAGCAGAACCAGGCCTATTCTATAAATTCATAAACATTAAATTGCAGGTAAAGGATAATATTCAGAGGTTGAAAATGGAAAATAGATTCACGGAAAATGAAAAGGAAATATGTGAAACATTAAACGAAAAGTTCCAAAGTGTGTTTGAACAAAATGAAATCTTCAGGGAACCAGACACAATAAGAATTCCAGAGAACAACATAGAACACATAGAGGTGCATAGAGATGAAGTGGAAAAATTGCTCAAGGAGCTAAGTAAGAACAAAGCAGTTGGTCCAGATAGAATTTCACCAAGAATTCTGAGAGAATGTGCACCTGAGCTCAACATTTCACTTCAACTGATTTTTCAGGCATCCCTGTGTACAGGAGTTGTAGCTGATGTGTGGAAAAAAGGCTAATATAGTTCCAATCTACAAAAAGTGGCAGCAGGGAAGACCCCCTCAATTATAGACCTGTATCATTAACAAGTGTAATAATCTAAATATTGGAAAAAAATAATTAAAACTAAATGGGTAGAACACCTGGAGAAAAAAGATATAATATCAGACAGTATGGTTTTTGATCCTGTGTAACAAATTTACTCAGTTTCTATGATCGAGCCACACAGATTTTACAGGAAAGAGATGGTTGGGTTGACTGCATCTATCTGGACCTAAAAAAGGCTTTTGACAGAGTTCCACATAAGAGGTTGTTCTGGAAACTGGAACATATTGGAGGGGGTGACAGGTAAGCTTCTAACATGGATGAAAAATGTCCTAACTGATAGAAAACTGAGGGCCGTAATCAGAGGCAATGTATCGGATTGGAGGAATGTCACAAGTGGAGTACCACAGAGTTCAGTTCTTGCACCGGTAGTGTTCATTGTCTACATAAATGATCTACCAGATGGAATACAGAATTATATGAACATGTTTGCTGATGATGCTAAGATAATAAGAAAGATAAGAAACCTAGATGATTGTCATGCCCTTCAAGAAGACTTGGACAAAATAAGTATATGGAGCACCACTTGGCAAATGGAATTTAATGTGAATAAATTCCATGTTATGGAATGTGGAATTGGAGAACATAAACCCCACACAACCTATAAATTATGTGACAAATCTTTAGAGAATTCTGACAAAGAAAGGTATCTAGGGGTGGTTCTAGATAGAAAACTATCACCTGAGGACCACATTAAGAACATTGTGCGAGGAGCCTATGCTACACTTTCTAACGTCAGAATTGCTTTTAAATACATGGATGAATAATTACTAAAGAAATTGTTCACGACTTTTGTTAGACCAAAGCTGGAATATGTAGCGGTTGTATGGTGCCCATATCTTGAGAAGTGCATCAACAAACTGAAAAAGGTGCAAAGACATGCCACTAAGTGGCTACCAGAACTGAAGGACAAGAGCTACAAGGAGAGGTTAGAGGCATTAAATATGCAAAAACTAGAAGATAGAAGAAAAAGAGGGGATATGATCGCTACGTACAAAATAGTAACAGGAATCAATAAAATTGATAGGAAAGAATTCCTGAGACCCGGAACATAAAGAACAAAAGGTCATAGATTTAAACTAACTAAACAAAGCTGCCAGAGATATATAAGAAAATTCACTTTTGTAAACAGAGTGGTAGATGGTTGGAACAAGTTAGGTGAGAAGGTGGTGGAGGCCAAAACCGTCATTATCTGACGGTGTCCCGCTGGGTAGACGGGACACCATGAGCGTAGCTCTCATCCTGTAACTACACTTAGGTAATTTCACTTGGGTAATTACATAGCGTTTTTCCTCATTTGGGAGTGATGTTGGCTGGCGGGGTGCACTGGTGGTTTATGTGCTCAACGATTTTAGCATATCAAGGTTGGCCTTCACAGCTGCGTGAACCAGGCTGTGTCGGTTTACTTTTTGGACTAGCGTAGTAATCCCAATGCCTGGGTGTCCTGCTTAGTTTATCCTTCAAGCCCTGGAAATTCCCTGAAGGTTTGGTGGTTCCAAGGATTTCCCCCAAACCTGCTCTTGCTTCATGAGAGTTTAAGAGTTGTTTGTCATCGGTGCCACAAGGCAACGATCACTTTTTCTGCCACCGCATGCTACCTATTGGGTCAGTAACACCTTTGACCCTGAGTCCTGTGAGGTTTGTTCTCCCCATGTGGCTCATCTTTCTGATCCTCCTGATGAGATTAGGGCCTATCAGGCAGTAAACGCTTTGTATGTTCATCTTGCTAGGTTCCAGCATTTTAGATTGTGTGTCCAATTGAATGCCCTAGAGCTGCATTGTTGTTTAGGGACCAGGAATTAAAAGTGATGAACTCCTCCTTGGCTCCGTCCTCACCTCCGTTCTCACCTCCTCTTCCTTCCCTTCAGGCATGGTTCACCCTTCCTTTGATCCTTCCCCCATCCCTGCTTCCAGCCCCAAAGCGTCTGAGGGGTTTTGGGCTCGGGGCAGGGTTTACTTCATGATGTGGCTCGGTCAATTCCAGGGATTGCCTCTTCTAAATTGGACGTGGAGGCAGTTGAGCCGGCAGGTCCCGCCTAGGCTTCTGGGTCGTCTTTTCAACCAAGCCTGCCTGTCTTTGAATCCTCTCCTTTTAACTCTTCTTTTCTATCCCAGGCAATGGGCATGGATGCTGGCTCTTCTCCAGGGCCTTCAACTGCAGTTTCCATGGCTTAGGGGAGTCAGATATGGGTCTTGTTCAACTCTGTGGTTCCTTGTTCCTTCCGAGGAGGGTCTTCTTTTGCCAGAGAAGGGGATTTTCATATCCCAGTCTCTGTATGAATTTGATTTGGATGCAACTACTCTTAGGGTTCATTTCTGCACTACTGTACTTTGGAGCCATCATGTTAGTCCTTCCAGAGGTTTCCTACCTCTCTGGTCCCTCCTGCAGAGGCTTGAGAGATGCTGTTTACATACCTCCTGCAAGACCCAGATTCCACATAGTTGCTGAACCGTACCTCTTTTTAAATTTGTGTCTTCCCCTTACTAGATGCATTATCATGATCCACAAACTTCTTGGCTGGCAGACACTCCGTTATTTTCACTTGGTGCAGCTTTTGTCGACTCGCACACTTGAGTGGCATGAGGTGTCAACTCTAAGACAGGTGTTTCTTGTGGCTCTTCTTTTGTGCCCCTCAGTGATTGCCTGTTTGCTCCTGCTCTTGCTAGGGACATGGTCTTGTGCAGCTCCAATGGCGGGCTGCCACTGGCTGCCATTGCCACTGCCACTCAGCATACCAACTTAGTGGTTCGTTATGGTGAACACGAATGTAGATACTTATATATAGTGTCTGTATATAGTGAATAAAAGCAAAAACAGTATTGTGGGAGGAGAATGTGGGTGAGTGAGGTGTTGAGGGAGTGAGTGGCTGGCTGGTGTGTGGCGGTCACTCCTCGTTACTTTTTGACTCATAATAGCAAATTAGTGGTTCGTTATGGTGAACAAAACATACAGATACTTATATATAACCTGTGTAAATAGTGTAATAAATAATTTGGTAATAAATATGTATTTAATGTATGTGTTTTTATAACTGCACCCTGTTTTGTTTTTTCAGGGTTTAGGTAACATGTCACGAGGGCAGAGCCAAGTGCTATATGGGCTTTATGGTATTGTAGAACATTCAGGTCGCCTCAACTCGGGCCACTATGTAGCATATGTTCGCTCACGTCCTCTAGATCCTGCTCGCACGAATAAGCAGTATCTCAACCTTAAGCCTTCTACGCAGTTTGAGATTAATCAGTTAGTGGCAGAAATGGCTGACAAAATTGATGCATCATCAGGTACTTTAGGAAGTGATCTTAAAGGCTCATCTGGAAACAAGAACTCCATCAATACTGAAGTGAGAACTTTTATATTTGTATTGCACTTTCTTGTTTATTTTTAGTATTCCTTTCTGTTAATAATGTAATAATGTTTTTTCTGAACCTTACCCTTGGTATCTTCCAGTTCATTAGGCTCTGGTACAATAGATATGTACCCCCCAAAATGGTACCAGAACTCTGTATTTGCTCAAGCCTAACAAAACCCAGAAACAGAATCTGGTTTGTTCATAGGGCAGGCAAGTGTCCTTACTCATGTGCCTGGAACCCACTGACAAACTAGCCTCTGCAGTGACCTATTCTCCTATTATCTACTTTAGTTAATTTTTCATGCTGTGGGTCTGGGCTTTTGTTATTGTTCCTAATGTGAGCCCAACAAAGGAAAGGAGACCAACAACCCTGGCCAGTTTGGTGAGTGCTAATCCAGCCCATCATCCTGTTTTGATAGTACTTTTAGGAAGGATGAGGACCATAGTACATATACTGATGTACAACACAATTAGAAAGTAGAAATCGGCACTATTGAATTGGGCAAACCGGAAATTGATTTTCTACTTATTTTTTATTTTGATTTATACATATATACAAGCGTTCTTACGTTCTTATAAAGTCACTAGCACGCATAGCATTTCAGGCAGGTCCTTAATCCTAATTTTCTCCGAAATACTACCCGCCGAATCATTTAACAACTAGGTACCCATTCACTGCTGGGTGAACAGAGGCTACAGTTAAGGATTGGCACCCGATCAATCCTCCCTGGCCACGATACAAACCCAGGCCAAAGCACTAGCAAAGTGCCGGGCGAGTGTTTTACCACTGCACGACGGGAACTGCAAAGAAAACTAAACTAACCTAACCTAACTTAGGCCTAATTCATGCTGGTGCCTAATATAGTACATATATGTGCTATACTAGGCCTAAGAATATTTAAGCTTCTTTTTTAGCTTCATTTTCTGGGGGGAGCCCCAACGGCTCCCTGGAGCTTATCCAGGCTGATATGGATATGTTAAACTTTGGCATCAGTCAGTGTGAATGGAGTTCTTAGGCCTACCAGGGACCACGAGCCAGAACCTGGCCCTCTCAGAGAGGTATGAGGAGCAATGGCCTATAGAAACCCCCAGTAGTTGGAAGCATTCTGTATCTGCCATTGACCAGGTCAGGCACCCCGAAAGGTAAGCATCCCAAAACAAACCCCTATTCTTGTTAAGAAATTTCTACTAAAAGTTGAACTAGTGGACTGAACTCCCCAAACAAAAACAAGCAAACGAGCATGACGTCACCATGTCTCTGCGCCGCTCCTCCCATCCAGGAGGAAGAAGGGGGAGCCCCAGACCCCTCGTGCCGGCTACCCAAAACCCCAGTTCTCAGGCTGATGTGATAGATTGAAGTCGTGTGCTCTGATTCCTCTCCCCAGGCTGCCCTGCCGCACGTCTCTGCTCACGGTACTAAGTGGAAGTACTCCTCCGTCATCCCGATTTCCAAACGCCCTGCCACCTTGCCTGATGGGCCTCTTACATCGCATTCTCCCACGACTTGTCCTTGTGCCCTTCCTAGGTCTTCCTCCCGCTGTCCTGCTGGCGCTTCTGCAGTGTCCAATGCGTTAGCGTCCCAGTCGTGAGGCTCCAAATGCCATCTTTGTACCTTGCCCTGTCCTAACTTCGCCTGCTCCGTCTTATAATAATAATAATAATAATAATATTTTATTTTGGAAAAGTACTTACATAGATATAGAGTTACAAAAATAATGTTGGATTTATAGATAGAGCTAGTACATACAATACCCAAAGCCACTAATATGCATAGTGTTTCGGGCAAGCTGGACATTGTATAAGGGAGCAACAGAGAAAACTAGCTCAGAAATAGTAGTGTATGTACATTTATTTACAGGATCATAGTTGGTAAGGCATTACTGTAATAAAAAGACAATTTTCATGTTCTAAGTAATTATATTTATGTATTTCTAGGAATTTGAAGAGGAGGTGAGAGCTGGAAGATGGTTTCATGTTTCTGACACTTACGTCGCTGAAGTTAACATTGAGCGTGTTCTGAAGGCCCAAGCATATTTACTTTTTTATGAACGTCTGATTTGAACTTAGGAGATTTATTGTACATAATATTTCATATTTACTTATTTGTACGTGCATTAAGTATTTATTTGTAAATTTCTTAATGATGATTGTATAGTTGTACTCCTTCATTGAGTTATATTTAGATATTATGGTACTGTATTATGAATTTCTTTTTAATCCAAATATATATAAAATGTAAGGCACTTATTGACAGCTGCATACAAGTAGTACAAAGCATTGTTACACAAGAATATACATAATTTATTCCGTTAAAAAATTCTAAGACGACAGGTATTGTGACTATCACTGAGGTAGACAGACGTGACCTGAGGACATCAGCCAGTAGTTACTCCTTTGTGTGAGTTAGTCTACTGAATTATGTTAACAACATGGGTAATTCATGCTATATTTCTGAGGTAACACTAAAAGTTTGCATTGTATAGAATGTTTTAAACAGTTTTAAAGTATTTTGTGATGAGTTTTATCATAAATATTATTAGTGTCCTTGTCACATGAATAATAGTAAAAAAGCTCAACATGCATCTTAAAGTTGACCTCCGAAAATATGTGTAAGGAATGTCTAGAATCTTTTTAATTACATATTAGGCAGCATTTTGTAATTAGGATGAAAACCAGGAAGTGGCAAAGAATTATTTTTAAATTGTACTACCAATTCCTTAAAACACAAAAACATTTCAAATTATAAAATTAATGAAGCATATTGGAAATATAATATGTATTGTGCTTTCATGTTTATACAAAATTCTGAAAACTTGGCATTTATAATGAAAATAAAAAAAGAGTTGTGCACTATATGTCTGTCTTCCATGGTGTCTTGGCATTTCCTTCAAAACTGCAGCTATTATCAATCACAGTACTTGAATTTCAATTTACTATTTAACTTATTATGATATAGTATTTTTTATTATGAAACAGTACAGTATACACTATTTTACATAAAAGTGTACCTCGGTTTTCATAGTTAATCCGTTCCTAGGGACGGTACGAAAAGCGAAACAAATTTTCCCACAAGAAATAATGTAAATTAAATTAATCCGTTCCACACCTCCAAAAATATTAACTTGAAAATGCATTTTATACCGAATAACACTTATTTTGTACTAGCTAAAATACAGTACAATACCCCTGAAAAACATCAATATGAAATTCAATTTTTTTCCATAGAAAATGGAGCAACCTACCTGACACACACTTAACAAACCTTTTGACATTTTTTATTTTTACAAATTTTCTGGGGGGAGCCCCGTCAGCTCCCCGGAGCTATCCAGGCTGAATGGATATGTATATCCTTCTGGCATTTTTCTTTCTGGCTTTTCTTTCTTTCTGGCAATTTTTCAAATCAAAAATATTTTTTCACATACGCAAAATCAAAAACCTCCACCAGTAATGGAACATTAATTACAACCGAAGGTACGTACACAGAGGACAACAAAGAAATTAGTGAAATTCTAAGAAGCCAGTATGAGGCTATGTTTAGCACACCAATATACAACATGAAAGTTGATGATCCAGACAGCTTCTTCATGAATGACATTCAAGCTGCAGATAATATAACAGATATTAACATGAACTCAGAAGACTTTGAAAGCGAAATTGACATATGCCCATGCACTCAGCTCCTGGGCCTGACTCGTGGAATTTAATATTCATAACAAAATATAAAGTTCCAGCAGCGCGAGCACGCACTCAGCGTAATATGGAAAAAGAGCTTGGATATAGGGGAGATACCATCTGTGGTTAAATCGACAGATATAGTTCCTCTGCACATGGGGGGGGGTAGTAAAGCCTTGGCAAAAAATTATAGACCAGTTGCACTACCATCACACATAATAAAAGTTTTTGAAAAAGTGATTAGGAATCAAATTTCTAGTTTTATGGAAAATAATGAGCTACACATCCCAGGACAACATGGATTTAGAGCGGGAAGATCCCGTCTGTCACAGTTACTCAACCACTATGACAAAATCACAGAAGCTTTAGAAGAAAAGCAAAATGCAAATGTTGTATACACAGACTTTGTAAAGGCATTCGACAAATGTGATCATGGAGTGATAGCACACAAAATGAGGTCAATAGGAATAACTGGTAAAGTAGGGCAGTGGATACTCTCAAGTGATAAATTTCCTGTCGAACAGAAAACAGAGAGTAACAGTCAATCAAATAAAATTGAGTCTAAGTGCAGTTAATACTGTCCTTGCACCACTGCTTTTCCCTATTCTCATATCAGATATAGACAAAAATACAAATCACAGCTTTGTGTCATCCTTTGCAGATGACACAAAAATCAGCATGAAAATTACCTCTGCTGAAGACATGAAAAACTTCAAGCAGATATTAATAAAGTTTTCGATTGGGCAGCAGAAAATAACATGATGTTGAACAGTGATAAATTCCAGGTACTCAAGTATGGCAAAAATGAGAATTTGAAGCGCAATACAGGATACAAAACACAATCAAATCTGCCCATAGTAGGAAAACAGCATGTCAAAGATTTGGGAATAATGATGTCTGATGACCGAATGTATAGGGAGCATAATCAAGCAAATATTGCATCAGACAGAAAAAAAATAGGATATATTACGAGAACTTTCAAATCCAGGGATCCCATCACAATGGTTATCTTGAGGTTATCTTAAGATGACTTTGGGGCTTAGTGTCCCCACGGCCCGTTCCTCGACCAGGCCTCCACCCCCAGGAAGCAGCCCGTAGCAGCTGACTAACTCCCAGGTACCTATTTACTGCTAGGTAACAGGGGCATCAGGGTGAAAGAAACATTTTGCCCATTTGTCTCCGCCTCCACCAGAGATCAAACCCAGAACCTCAGGACTACGAGTCCGAAGCGCTGTCCACCCAGCTGTCAGGCGGTTGGTTGTACTATTTAAATCACTTGTGCTGTCCTGTCTTGAGTACTTCTTAGTACTCACTTCCCCCTTCAGAGCAGGAGAAATTGCTGAAATAGAGGGAATACAGGGAACATATATGGCATGCATAGATGCGATAAGGCACCTAAATTATTGGGATTGTCTCAAAGCTCTCCAAATGTATTCACTAGAAAGGAGACGAGAGAGATATCAAATAATATACAAGGGAAAAATACTGGAGGGCCAGGTACCAAATCTACATAGTAGAATAACAACGTACTGGAGTGAACGATATGGAAGAAAATGCAGAATATAACCAGTGAAGAGCAGGGGTGCCATAGGCCCAATCAGAGAACACTGTATAAACATCAGAGGTCTACGGTTGCTTAACATCCTCTCAGCGGGCATAGGAAATATTGTGGGAACAACTATGGACATCTTCAAGAGAAAACTAGATTGTTTTCTAAAAGAAGTTCTGGACCAACTGGGTTGTGGTTGGTAAGTGGGCCTGTGGGCCACTCCAAGCAACAGCCTGGTGGACCAAGCTCTCACAAGTCAAGCCTGGCCTTGGGCCAGGTTTGGGGAGTAGAAGAACTCCCAGAACCCCATCAAGCAGGTAGTAGGACCCTTCCACTTTCTATAATTCTTCCACCAGAACATCTGGTGCCAGATACTCTGTTCAGGAGTACATTCCCTTACCTAGACTTTTCATTAAATGCTGTAAATTTGAGCATGGTGCCCTCAATTACACAAGTGCAATGTCTATGTCCCATGTGTGGAGCCTTGGGTCACTAAGACGGAGTGCTCTTCTTCCCAGGCTACCTGCCTCAATTGCGGTGACGCGCACCCCTACCTTCTCCCGCGTGTGTATACACTACAAATTTGAGGAAGCCATCCTCAATTTGAAGCATCACGAACGTTTGTCTTTTCCTGAGGTGAGAAGCCAAGTCCACTGTCTCCCCCTCTTTTGCTAGCATATCTTATGCTCATATGTTGCATTCCACCTCTCCTCACCCTTCCCTCCTTTCTCAGTCTTGCAACCATTTCCAGGCCTTAGACCCAGACACCCCCACCGCCTCCTCCCCTGTTCCTTTACGTTCTGAACCACGGAGTCCTCCTCCTCCTGGTTCTCCATCCGGCTGATTCTTTTATTTTATTTTGGAAGGCGAGTGCTGTTGCCCATAGGATCATCCGTACAGCTAAACGTGAGAGTTAGAAATCTTAAGTCTTCACCATTACGTCCAATACTCCTCTGCTGCAGATCTGGGAGAAAATCTACAAGATAGCGGGTAAGTTTGTTCCAGATGTCTCGCCAGTCCTTCACCTGTGTGGTACTCTTGTGGCAGATCCAGTGATGGTCGCGACTGAACTGGGTTCCCACTTTTCGATTGTTAGCTCCGGTTCTCATTTTCCTCAATCCTTCCTTCTTCATAAGCCCGTTCTTGAATCTCGTCTCTTAGATTTCCGCACTCATTTCCGACTTCCCTATAATGATCCCTTCTCTCTCTCTTCGAACTTCAGTCTGCTCTGGCTTTCTTTGGTTCTACGGCAGCAGGCTTAGATGACATTCATTATGAGATGCTTTACCATCTCCCTCCATGCGCATCTCAGTATTTACTTAATTTGTATAACCGTGTCTGGGAGTCGTCGTCAGTCCCTGAGGACTGGCTCGATGCTGTTGTACTCCCTATTCGGAAACCGGGGTCTCTAGGGACATCCCCTAAGGACTTCCACCCTATTGCCCTCATGTGTGGTGTCTGCAAACTCTTTGAATGTATGGTCAATGCCCATCTGATGTGGTTCTTAGAACACCATCACCATCTCTCCCTTTCACAATTTGGTTTTTGCAAGTGCCACAGCTTGACTGATGTCTTGGTGAACTTGAATGTCTATATTCGTACTCCTTTTGCTGCGAGGACCTCCGTTGTTGCTGTCCTTTTTGACCAGGAAAAGGAATACAACACCACTTGGAGATACCATATTCTGTTCCATCTTCGTTCTTTTGGCTTCTTGGTAATCTCCCTCTCTCTTTCTCCAAAGCTTCCCTCTCTTGTCGTTCCTTTAGAGTGAGGCTTGGTACCACTCTCTCTGCCTCTTTTCGGCAATATGAAGGTGTACCCCAAGGTAGTGTTCTGAGCACTACTGTTTTTCTGGTTGCCCTCAATGGTCTTCTTTCCTGCTTTCCTTCTGGCATCTTCACCGCTCTCTCTGTCGATGATCTTACCCTCTGCTGTTCAGGTGATGATTCGCCTCTCCTTCAATGGTGGCTTCATCTTGCGATTGATGCCATGTCGTCTTGGGCCACCAATCATGGCTTCAAGTTCTCTGCAACTAAGACTTGTGCTATTACTTTTACTTGGAAGCAGGTCCTTCTTCGTCCCTCTTTGTCGCTCTATGGTCAAACCCTTGTGTACCAAGATTCCGCTAAGCTTTTGGGATTAATCTTTGACACTCATTTGTCTTGTAACCCCATATCTCTTACCTCCAAGTTGAATGCTCTAAGGCCCTTAACCTACTTAACATCCTGTCCCATACTTCTTGGGGCGCTGATAGGTGCATGCTCCTCTCTTTACATTCCTCTCTCGTACTGTCTAAACTCGATTTTGGTTGCTTTGCTTACTCGTCTGCGTCTTCTACTCTTCGTCGTCTTGATGCTCTGCACCATACTGGGTTACGCCTCAGCTCTGGTGCCTTTCGTTCGACTCCTATTCTCAGCTTGTATGCTGAAATCAGCATCCTGTTTCTCCAGGATCACTGTGATCGCTACTATCTTCACTACTTGCGTGGCCCTTACAACACCCTCACTCTTGCCTAAATCGTGCTTTGACTTTTACGCCCTCCTGTGGTCCCTGTTCCCTTTCACCACCTCTTTCCTTCTCTCCAGTTGTCTCAGCTACAAAATTCTCTTTCGTGGAGGGTTCCCCTTCCTAAATTTTGTAAAACCCTGACCCACATGACTAAATTTTTTACCCCTCCTGCAGTTCTGAAATACCTTTTCCTTGTACACTTTTCTTCGCATTCCCGCTCCATTTCCATCTTCACCGATGGGTCTAAGTCTGCAGATGATGTAGGCTACTCTGTTGTTTTTCCTGTCCACACCTATATGTGTAGCCTGTCTCCGGAGACTAGCATCTTCACGGCAGAACTTTATGCTATTCTCTATGCTCTTCATCAACTGCTTTCTCACTGTTAATCCTCCTTTCTTGTTGTAGTTGACTCGCAGTGCCCTCATGGCTCTGGAGTCCTTTAATCCAATCCATCCAGTGGTAGTTGAGATTCAACATTGGCTGTTTCTTATCTCCAGCAGATTTAAGACTAGAGTTTTGCTTGGTTCCCAGCCATATTGGTGTCTCTTTAAATGAGCGTGCAGACGCTGTCACTAAGGAAGCTGTCCGCACTTGTCTCATCTCTCGTAAAGGTATTCCTTATTCCGACTTTTACCCAGTTATTCATTCCTTCATCCTTGCCCATTGGTAGAGTCGTTGGTCTTCTGTTACTGGTAACAATCTGCGTGCTCTTAAGAGTAGTGTGTTCCCATGGCCTTCCTCCAACCACCATAACCGGTGGTGGGAAATGGCTCTGGCCAGGTTGCATATTGGCCATACAGTACACGTTTAACTCATGGGCACTTAATGGAGCGCCGCTCTGCTCCTTATTGTCCAAACTGCATTGTCCCTCTTACAGTCGTGCATATCCTTGTTGAATGTCCTGACTTCCAGGACGAGCATGTGTCTTTCTTTCCGACCGTCCCCCGCGGGCACTTGTCCCTCGATAGAATTCTTGGTGAATAGGATACCTTTGATATCGTTCGCCTTATGCGTTTCTGTTCTCATATTGGCATCTTAATGATATTTAGCGCCCTATGATTATTCCGTACATTTAATGATGCTACATAGCCTTCCTGGCTTGGTGCCTTCTTTTGATAATTACTTATTTCAATTTGTTAAACCTTTGAATAACAAAATTTTGATAAAGGTTACTATGTCGAAAATGTTTAATACAAAATACAATTACATGTATAATTTTTTCTGGAGGAGCCAAACGGTGGTCATATTGATGTAGCCCAACATATGTAAGTCATATCAGCCCTTGCGAATCCTTTAACCTATGTACTCTACATTAATACAGTATAATGTAATAACCCTGTGGTGCATGTAAAAAATTATTCTACCAGAATTTGATTTAGGCATTAACAGAGCAGTTTCCTCTCCATTGTGATGGGAGGTACTGCAAAGATATTTTTACATAATTATTTAAATACAGTATATCCGAATTGTTTTTTATCTAGCATTCTGCGGAAGCCAGTTGTCGCTCCCTGAAGCTACCATGCTGATAAAGTGCCAAACTACTAGGTGTCATCGATTGATTGATGAAGATTAAGCCACCCGAGAGGTGGCACGGGCATGAATGGCCCTTTATATATATAAAAAAATATATATAATATATATATATATATATATATATATATGTCGTACCTAATAGCCAGAACGCACTTCTCAGCCTACTATGCAAGGCCCGATTTGCCTAATAAGCCAAGTTTTCATGAATTAATGTTTTTTCGGCTACCTAACCTACCTAACCTAACCTAACCTAACTTTTTCGGGTACCTAACCTAACCTAACCTATAAAGATAGGTTAGGTTAGGTTAGGTAGGGTTGGTTAGGTTCAGTCATATATCTACGTTAATTTTAACTCCAATAAAAAAAATTGACCTCAAACATAATGAAATGGGTAGCTTTATCATTTCATAAGAAAAAATTAGAGAAAATATATTAATTCAGGAAAACTTGGCTTATTAGGCAAATCAGGCCTTGCATAGTTGGCTGAGAAGTGCGTTCTGGCTACTAGGTACGACATATATATATATATATATATATATATATATATATATATATATATATATATATATATATATATATATATATATATATACATACATACATACATACATACATACATACATACATACATACACTGTATATATATATATATATATATATATATATATATATATATATATATATATATAATTTTTTTTTTTTTTTATTGGACGATTTGCATGAAACTTATACACCTGACTGCACATAAGCCTATCTGTAAGGGTGCCAATTTTGGAGAAAACTGGTTGATGTCAACCTCAGCCACAGATGGCAGCACCTTAGACTTTATTATTTTCTTATTTATTTTCAATATTTTCAAGTAACATAAACGTTCAAATAACTCTTTCATTTTTTATTCAATTTACATGAAACTTACACCTTATATGTAAAGTTTGTCTCCAAAATCTGTATTAAGCATTTTTTCCTAAGTTCATTTATTGATTTTATAATAACAATAAACATGGCATATTTGCATAATTTTGGGGGGAACTGTGACTATTTGTATTAGGAAAACTAAAAATGTTTTGGAAACTCCCTATCTCCGGATCCTTTATTATATGCTAATGTGTCAGAAAAGTGTCATAGAATGATTATATCTGAAAGGTGTGTTTGTTTATTCACACTTGAAAATGTGTAAAATTCATTGAAAAAAATAAAAAAAATTAAAAATCTCCCTTTCTATTTAAGCTGCAGTACTGAAACTTGGAACAATTGCAGCCCTTTTCATATACAACTAGTCAAAAAATATTGGTTGACATTGAACAACTTTTAAAAAACGTGTTAATGCCCCCTATAGGGTTCGGTATCATCAAGTCATAGAGCGGACCAAGAAAAAAATTATATTTTGAAATCAAAGGGGGCTGATCGACAACCTTTCAAGACAAAAAAAAACTGTTTTTGTGAATTTTTATGTGAAAATAGAATTACAACAAGTTTATTTATTTATTTATTTATTTATATATATACTGTACAAGAAGGTACATTGGGTTTGTGAGAATACATTGGATAGTACAGTATTTACATTCTTGTAAAGCCACTAGTACGCGCAGCGTTTCGGGCAGGTCCTTAATCTAGCAGATAATTTTAAGTAGGTAATTTCTATCAGAATTGATAAATGATAAAGATACATTGCAAGAGAAAAATGAGATGAGAGAGCTTAGTAAGTATATTAAAGCACATTGTTATATTAAAGCTCTGATTGATTACATTGACAGCTTGATTAGTAATTTAAACAAGATTAATAGACACCATACAGCAGATTGACAGCACATATAAGACAGCAATGATCACAATGGTAAAGATGTTCAGATTGGGTACATAAAGATTGGGAGACTGGGTAGCAAAAGATACAGATAAACAAAATTTATAAACACCATACAGCAGATTGGCAGCACATATAAGAAGACAGCAATGATCACAATGGTAAAGATGTTCAAATTGGGAACATAAAGGTTAGGACACTGTTATAAACATAAAGTTATAACAACATAAAGTTACAACACTGGGACCCATTTTTGCTACAAGAGTCCATGATCTGTACAGTCCATTCATAGTTAGCATAGTTACTATCATTCTTGGATAACCTGGTTGCTTGGAGTCTACTAGATGCAGTCAAGTTTTGTTTTATGTTTTAGGGATGGTATTATTGGAGTGGTTCCCTACAGATCCATTTTATGTGTCTTGAGAGCCTCCACCACTCGCGGACAGTTTTTGACGGCAGCCTCCTTGAGGATGGAGTCTCCAGCAAGACTAACGACTGTCATGTGGGTGAGAGAGTGGGTGAGGTGGAGAGAAACGGCCTTGGTACTGCTGAAGAAGGCGGTACCCATCCCCATACCCTCCATGAAGATGCTCTCCGTCCTGTACTGTGGGTAGCCGTAAGGGATGGGGTAAAAAAGATTGGTGGGCCAGACGGTGATGTCGCCGCAAATCTCGAACTGGTCGGAGGCGACGGAGGCGGGGATGGTGACGTTGTCGGGACACCGACGATGGAGGTGCTGAGTGATCAGATCAGGACCAATGCTGCAACACATGCCCGGGTCAAACACTGAAGGGATGTCCGCTACCACTGCCTGCGGAAGGTTCAACGAGGCAAAAATTTCTGACACTGTCAGTTTGACTAAAATAGATTCCCCTAAGAGAGCTGTTTTTGTAATTATTATTATTATTAACACACAGAAATCACATTAACGTGATACATATTAATGAGAAAATCCACTAGGACTATAGGTAGGTGCGAACCTACGACCCCGGTATTGCCAGTCGCGTACTCTACCACTAGAAAACCAGAACTTGTAAAGTCTTACAACTAGAGTTCTACTGAAATCACGAAGTCTGGAGGCCTCTGTTGAAGTCAGTCCAAGTTTTTACATATGACCCACAAGCACTCGGGCGGAAGGGCAAATTTTTCTACACCTTTACGTCAAGGGCAAAGTGGTCTTACACCTTTACGACGTAAAGGATGTTACAGGATTACGACGGATTTTCTCATTATTATTATTATTTTATTGAATTTGCAAGCATAGATTCTACTTAATACCTATTGATATTCTGTATGGGTCACTCCTTGACCCATGCCAGGAAACTCGGCAATCTAACTCTCTCTTTCCATAAAAGATTTTTGTTTTTAACTTATCCAATTTGTGATTATTTTCAGTAGCGTTTAATCATTCCCCTTGTTATGTCTTTCCATCCAGTTGAACACTCCAAAAATAAGCCTCACTTAAAGAAACGGGTGATCGAAAAATGTATTGCCTGATTACGTAATAATACAGGCGTTCGAAAATGATGGTAAGCGGAACACCTCTTTTGGGGAAACGTATGTTGGAAGGTGAAGCGTGACCTCAAGTTCAAGTTCAAGTAAGTTAATTGAGAGATAATAAATAACATCACAAAAGAAGAAGAGTAGCTTATATTGGGTATTTCTACCCTTAAGCTTGACCTTACCTGAAGAAACGGGTGCTCCGAACTGAAGCTCATAATGCCGTTGCCGACGAGGTTGGTGTGGATCCTTGCCACCCAGTTGGTGGAGCTGGGCAGGGCGCGGAGAGTGATGGAATCCAGGTCGAGGTAAGTCCCTCCGTGTCTCCTTAAGACCTCCACACGGGCGGCGTCGCTCACTACCCAAGCCACGCGGTCTGGCACACGCACCACGGACGGCGGAAAGTGGCCAGATGTGGGAGCAAATATTAATTTTTTGTGTGTTTTTGTTTTTAACATAAGCTCGAGTTTCAAGAACTTTGGGAGTACGAGTTACGTTAGTGTGTGTGTGTATGTGTGTGTGTGTGTGTGTGTGTGTGTGTGTGTGTGTGTGTGTGTGTGTGTGTGTGTGTGTGTGTGTGTGTGTGTGTGTGTGTGTGTGTGTGTGTGTGTGTGTGTGTGTGTGTGTGTGTGTGTGTGTGTGTGTGTGTGTGTGTGTGTGTGTGTGTGTGTGTGTGTGTGTGTGTGTGTGTGTGTGTGTGTGTGTGTGTGTGTGTGTGTGTGTGTGTGTGTGTGTGTGTGTGTGTGTGTGTGTGAATTACCTAATTGTAATTACCTAATTGTGCTTGCGGGGGTTGAGTTCTGGCCCGGCTCTTTGGTTCCGCCTCTCAACTGTCAATCAACAGGTGTACAGGTTCCTGAGCCTACTGGGCTCTATCATATCTACACTTGAAGCTGTGTATGGAGTCAGCTTCCACCACATTACTTCCTAATGCATTCCATTTGTCTACTACTCTGACACTGAAAAAAATCTTTCTAACATCTCTGGCTCATTTGGGCACTCATCTTGCACATGTGTCCCCTAGTGCGTGTACCAATTGTGGTAAATAGTCTGTTTTTATCTACCCTATAAATTCCTCTAAGAATCTTGTATGTGGTGATCATGTCCCCTCTAACTCTTCTGTCTCCCAGTGACGTGAGGTTTAATTCCCGTAATCTCTCCTCGTAGCTCATACCCCTCAGTTCGGGTACTAGTCTGGTGGCAAACCTTTGAACCTTCTCCAGTTTAGTCTTATTATTGACTAGACATGGACTCCATGCAGGAGCCGCATACCCAAGGATTGGTCTGACATATGAGGTATGCAAAGTTCTGAAAGATTCCTTACACAAGTTTCTAAAGGCCGTTCTTATGTTAGACAACCAGGCATATGCCGCTGATGTTATCCTCTTGATATGAGCTTCAGGGGACAGGTCTGGCGTGATATCAACCCCCAGGTATCTCTCTGTCTCTCTCTCTCTCTCTCTCTCTCTCTCTCTCTCTCTCTCTCTCTCTCTCTCTCTCTCTCTCTCTCTCTCTCTCTCTCTCTCTCTTTCTCGCTCTCGCTCTCTCTCGCTCTCTCTCTCTCGCTCTCTCTCTCTCTCTCTCTCTCGCTCTCTCTTTCTCTCTCTTCTCTCTCTCTCTCTCTCTCTCTCTCTCTCTCTCTCTCTCTCTCTCTCTCTCTCTCTCTCTCTCTCTCTCTCTCTCTCTCTCTCTCTCTCTCTCTCTCTCTCTCTCTCTCTCTCTGACTCTTGAAGTATTTCATCTCTCAAATGATACTTTATATCTGGTCGCCTGCTTCCTACACCTATCTTCATTACATTGCATTTGCTTGGCTTAAACCTCTAACAACCATTTGTTCGACCATTCCTGCAGCTTGTCCAGGTCTTCTTGAAGCCTCAAGCTGTCCGCCTCTGTCTTAATCCTTCTCATAATTTTGGCGTCGTCAGCAAACATTGAGAGGAATGAGTCTACACCCTCTGGGAGATCATTTACGTATATCAGAAACAGGATAGGTCCGAGTACAGAGCTCTGTGGGACTCTACTGGTGACTTCACACCAATCTGAGGTCTCACCCCTTTCTGTAACTCTCGGCTTCCTATTGCTTAGGTACTCCCTTATCCACTGGAGCGCCCTACCAGTTACTCCTGCCTGTATTTCCAGCTTATGCATCAGCCTTTTATGTGGTACTGTGTCAAAGGCTTTCCGTCAGTCAAAAAATGCAGTCCGCCCATACTTCTCTTTCTTGCTTAATCTTTGTCACCTGATCGTAGAATTCTATTAAGCCTGTAAGACAAGATTTACCCTCCCTGAACCCATGTTGATGGGTTGTGTGTGTGTGTGTGTGTGTGTGTGTGTGTGTGTGTGTGTGTGTGTGTGTGTGTGTGTGTGTGTGTGTCTGTGTGTGTGTGTGTGTATGCGTGTTTGTGCGTGTGTGTGGAAGAGATTTACAGTTGAAATTTTTATTTCAATAGACAATTTGATATTTTGCAAGACTCAAGGTCGAGTCTGTCTGTCTGTCTGTCTGTCTGTCTGTCTGTCTGTCTGTCTGTCTGTCTGTCTGTCTGTCTGTCTGTCTGTCTGTCTGTCTGTCTGTCTGTCTGTCTGTCTGTCTGTCTGTCTGTCTGTACTCACCTTCACTCATGACCCAGACACGGTCTCGGTGCCAGGTCTTCAGAGGTTCCTCACTGAACACCTGGTCCAGGTCCAGCCAGGCCAGTCGCACGCTCCTCAACCCTGACAACACCTGAGAAGTTCTTTGTTTAAGTCATTAAGGCCAGATACTCCATGATACCCTCAACAGCATGTGTGTTGACGTCACTAAGACCAACTGCTGCATGCATGCTGACCAAGATCTGACTAGACCTAGAATCAGTTCACTTAAAGATATACTCACTGGAGCACTAACTTGGGACAGAAGAGCCTCCAATAGCAACAGGTGGACCCATTGTGCGATAAACACCATCAATACATTCGATATCATGGATACCATGGATGTTATATTGAGTGCATATTCTACTGCATTACTCCTTGAAATGATCCTCAAATTGTGCTTCAGTGAGCCAATGTATAACCCGGAAATTTTATCCCAATGTTCCTATAAATTTTATCCCAATGTGTCCCTCTCTGAGTACACACAGTGAGAGGTGTACTTCTCTGAGTACACACAGTGAGAGGTGTACCTCTCTGAGTACACACAGTGAGAGGTGTACCTCTCTGAGTACACACAGTGAGAGGTGTACCTCTCTGAGTACACACAGTGAGAGGTGTACCTCTCTGAGTACACACAGTGAGAGGTGTACCTCTCTGAGTACACACAGTGAGAGGTGTACCTCTCTGAGTACACACAGTGAGAGGTGTACCTCTCTGAGTACACACAGTGAGAGGTGTACCTCTCTGAGTACATAAAACGGGAAGTGTATTTCAAAGTGCATATAAACACAGATGTATACTTCCTAGAGTAAATAAGTCAAGAGGTGTACTTATGAGTGTACCTACACAGATATTTCACCATTATCCCATTTTTTTTGTTATGAAGTAGAGTGCAGTGTGCAGGAATGTAAACTTTTATGGCTAGGTTTACCTAGCGGGGGGGGGGGAGGCTTGCTTCTTAACATTACTGTTAGGCAGTGTCAGTGAATGATGAGTAATGTATTAGATAAAGAAATTCAATTACAAGAAGGGAGGATATGGACTCACCCACACGAAAAGCCGGTCATAGATTCATCAGAATTAATTGTTAGTTAAATGGACTCACCTGCATGAGTGGATGGGTGTGGTTGAGAGTGGGAGCGGTCATCAGAACCAGCACTGGGCGGTGTGGGTGGTGGTGGGCGGCACTCTCCACAGCACAAGCCTGTGGGTTGGGGCGGTGGGTGAGTATAGAGAATGGTGGGTGAGTGAAGAGGGCGGTGGGTGAGTGAAGAGGGCGGTGGGTGAGTGTAGAGGGCGGTGGGTGAGTGTAGAGGGCGGTGGGTGAGTATTGAGGGCGGTGGGTGAGTGTTGAGGACGGTGGGTGAGTATTGAGGGCGGTGGTTGAGTGTAGAGGGCGGTGGGTGAGTGTAGAGGGCGGTGGGTGAGTATAGAGGCCGGTGAGTGAGTGTAGAAGTCGGTGGATGAGTGTAAAGGGCGGTGGTTGAGTGTAGAGGGCGGTGTGTGGGAGTAGAGGGCGGAGGGTGAGTTTAGATGGCGGAGGGTGAGTGTCGAGGGCGGGGCCATATTCCTTGGATAATTTCCAACAACAACATACATCCACCTGGCGGTAATGACACTGTCACCTCACGTGTCCAAGTGTGACAATCTGTTCACAGCGCCAAGCAATTTCATTATTACACATTTGTACCTTTACTTCTTGCATTTCCACTCCCGACACCGCACATTTCCACCCCTAACACCGCACATTTCCTCCCCAACCCCACACACATTTCCAACACCACACACTTTCACACCAACACCACACATTTTCACAATACATATCCACCCACATTTCCAACTTTGCATCTTACATTTCCGCCCAGCGATATAAACTAACAAGATCCAAGAAAAAATAGTGTAACGGGGGGTGGGGGAAATAGCTCTATCTTGTCCATTATTCCACCCCCCAGTTAACTAACGAGGCCGGGGGAAACAGCTCTCTCTAGTCCGTTATCCCGTCCCCAGTTAGCTAACTATTCTAGAGCACCCTCCAGAGTTCCTAAGGCAACCTCTCTCGTTCAACACCTTGTAACCTAGGTATTTGACTACCTAGGTGCTAAGACTACAAGGCGCCGTCACTTGATCAGTTACCCGAAACTCTAGAGAGAACTCTAGAATACAGAATCATTGCCACAAACGTATAAGAGAAAACGAAAGGAAAGAAATGAATAGTGAAGTAATTAGTGAGGGTTTGGGGTGAGAGGGAGAGAGGTGGGAGGAGCGAGGAGGGTCATTAGTTGAAAGTGAGAGTTCAGAGAGGGGTGGAGGGAGAGGTGTAGATAGGTAGAAGGAGAAGAGTAGATAGTAGAAGTAGAAGAGTAGATAGTAGAAGACGAAATGCTGCCACCATCCATTCATGATCATTACATACAAGACAAGGAATGGAACTTGTCTGTATCACAAAATTCTCAAATGATGTTATCAAGAGATCATTATTAGTAGTTCCCATCTTTATCATGTACTCATTCTACACCATGAAACCAGTAACCACAGAGGCTTTCTCACCTCAACTCAAAGCTCTAGGGAACAAAGTTAAACACAATTTAAATAATAAATTCATAATTATATTTCCCATGAAGTATCATAATTTAACAATTCAATTAAAATGTTCCAGTTTAATATGCAAAGTGAGTCATCATCCAAGAATTCGAGAACCCTACAACTTGACTGCCCCTGATCATCACACAACATATGTAAACACGACCAAGTCACCTTAATGTTCACTCACCGAGGACTGAGTCTAAGTTGAATAGAGAGGGGGGGGGGGTCTGTAGCTTGACAGAGACTGTCTCGCCCCTGCCGGCCGACAGCCTCCCTGGTAGGGACGTCGTCTCTGCTCTCGTCTGCTGTTCTGTCTGTTAATGCTTTTTGCTCGATAGCTCTCCGAGTTTATATTGGGGAACCTAGTAGCTAACTCCGCCCACAAGTAGATAGCCTCCGGCACTACCAAGCCACTCCTTAAACGTCGGCATGTTTGAAGGCTACCCGGCTCCAATTAAGAGCTTAGCGGAAGCAAGGTGAAATTCTCATGATCTGACCTCAGGTCACTTGGGGTCGTTAACGGTTAGAGGTGTGAGATCTCAGGCAGACAACTGGCGCCTCTCAGATCCTTGTCTGTGACTCATGTACTCTATATATATTTTAAATAACCTAACCCAAACACTTTTACAGTGTTACATCTCCCCTTCTCCCCGAAATAAAGTTTTTGCAACACTGCTAAAGCAAGCTAGCTGTGTGCAACAACTTTATTAACGAAAAAGAATACATCCTAGCTAAACAAATATACATCATCCTACTCTAAAAAAATGAAATATATAGACAGACGTCCATTGTCTCTGGCTGGGCGACGTCACTGCTTGGTCTTGTAGATAATCCTGTACCACATTTCTTCAACACAACTGCCTCCGTCGCTTCTCCGTCGTTAACGCACAACAACACTTGGTCAACCCGAAAGCCGTTACTACTTGAACTGAGCACAGGACCGTGGAATTCGGTTGTCCCAGCTGATCTGTAATTGGCCCTACGTCAGTCACCATGAGAGACGTATATTGGGGTTCTTCACAGCTATAGGGACTACAAGTTTCGAGACCTTCATATAGTTGCCAACAGTAGAAATCCCATCCTACTCTTCTTCCTCCCTGTTGCTCCAGCACGCCTCCTTCAGAGAGCTACTTCTGACAGCCACATCAAGTCCGCATGACACAGGAAGAATCACTCAACAGAGCAACATGCTTGTAGGAGGGGCGGCCAGTTAAGGCAAACGATCCTGTCTTGCAATTACGCTCCATGCAATGATGCTGACACCAGCAAGGGACACGAGGCATCGTGTCTCACTCAGCTTGTCTTATCTTCTTTCTTCTTTCTTCTCTCTTCCTTCTTCTCTCTTCTTTCTTCTCTCTTCTTTCTTCTCTCTTCTCTCTCCTCTCCCATGGGTCTTTGACAAGCGACCTGGGGTCCATTGGGGTCCGTCCGTCCTGGGGTCCATCCTGGGTAGACCGATGTTGGTGGGACAGACTGGAGTCGTTGTTGCTCCTCTTCCATCTTTACTGGGTCGTCTGGGGTCGTCTGCAGAACGACCTGGGGTCCACTGGGGGTCCGTAAGTCTTGGGGTCCACTGGGGTCCGTCCGTCCTGGGGTCCACTGGGTAGACCAATGTTGACCGACCGAGAGGGCTGCATCTTGGGGTCCCCTGGGGTGGTGGTGGTGGTGGTGATAAACGCCCGTGAGTATGGTACACAGCAGCCGTCTCCCTCTTCTGTATGTGCGTCTCTCCTCTCTTCTGGCTCCCACCTGTGGATGAACAGAAAGGCGACAATATCGTGTTCCCAAGATATTTGTGTGACCCTGTAGTTTGTATAGGGTTACACAGTCATATCATAACGCTCTCCTCCTGGCAACAACTACACTTCAATTTTTAATAATCCAATTAACTCTTGAATGATATTGACTTGGTGGAACATAAAACAGTAACAGAGTAAAGTTAGAGAAGAGAGAATAAGGTCATCACTACTTTTAACTTGTCACAAAAAAAAATCAATACTAATAGACAAAACACTAGCCTAAACTTAACTGTACCGTTCCTAATCTTAAGTACCTAATTAACCGTTACTCCCACCCTTAACCTACAGCCACCTACGTGACCCAGAGTGTTTTCCTAGCTTCTCCGCCGGTCAACAACCCCAAACTGTTGCCACCCCTGTGACCAGACTATCTAACGTCGAGCGTCCCCAACGTGAAGTCTACTGACATACTAAGGCTCCCCCTAGCATGCTGTACAATACCAGTACACCTCGGGTTATTGCGTTCAAATGGAGTAAAACAGTCGATCGCAATAATCTGAGCAGAACCACCACTAAATTCTACTTAAGAACTACACCTGCCACTCCCCAACTGACCTGGAGACCAGCGGTGGCTGGGTGTCCCCCTGGGACATGCGAGGTCACCTGTCACACTCAGGTGAGCTCCACTACCAACACCGCTAAGTCCCCAAATCACCAAATCTTATCACTAACATAAATCACTACACACGCAAGTTCTGGTGAACATTCCCTGAATACCACAAAACTCACAAAATCACTAAACACAACACCAGAGAATCACTATCTCCTAACCTGAAAAAAACTCGCTAAATCGCGAAAGTAAAACACCTGTCAAGATCTCCCTGATAGCGCCTGAGCGGTAAAAAGACACGTGGGACTGAACAATGTTAAAAGAACACCAACTACCTACAACATTGTTCAACACCGCTGCCATCATTGTAACGGGGGGTGGGGGAAATAGCTCTATCTTGTCCATTATTCCACCCCCCAGTTAACTAACGAGGCCGGGGGAAACAGCTCTCTCTAGTCCGTTATCCCGTCCCCAGTTAGCTAACTATTCTAGAGCACCCTCCAGAGTTCCTAAGGCAACCTCTCTCGTTCAACACCTTGTAACCTAGGTATTTGACTACCTAGGTGCTAAGACTACAAGGCGCCGTCACTTGATCAGTTACCCGAAACTCTAGAGAGAACTCTAGAATACAGAATCATTGCCACAAACGTATAAGAGAAAACGAAAGGAAAGAAATGAATAGTGAAGTAATTAGTGAGGGTTTGGGGTGAGAGGGAGAGAGGTGGGAGGAGCGAGGAGGGTCATTAGTTGAAAGTGAGAGTTCAGAGAGGGGTGGAGGGAGAGGTGTAGATAGGTAGAAGGAGAAGAGTAGATAGTAGAAGTAGAAGAGTAGATAGTAGAAGACGAAATGCTGCCACCATCCATTCATGATCATTACATACAAGACAAGGAATGGAACTTGTCTGTATCACAAAATTCTCAAATGATGTTATCAAGAGATCATTATTAGTAGTTCCCATCTTTATCATGTACTCATTCTACACCATGAAACCAGTAACCACAGAGGCTTTCTCACCTCAACTCAAAGCTCTAGGGAACAAAGTTAAACACAATTTAAATAATAAATTCATAATTATATTTCCCATGAAGTATCATAATTTAACAATTCAATTAAAATGTTCCAGTTTAATATGCAAAGTGAGTCATCATCCAAGAATTCGAGAACCCTACAACTTGACTGCCCCTGATCATCACACAACATATGTAAACACGACCAAGTCACCTTAATGTTCACTCACCGAGGACTGAGTCTAAGTTGAATAGAGAGGGGGGGGGGGGGGTCTGTAGTTGACAGAGACTGTCTCGCCCCTGCCGGCCGACAGCCTCCCTGATAGGGACGTCTCTGCTCTCGTCTGCTGTTCTGTCTGTTAATGCTTTTTGCTCGATAGTTCTCCGAGTATATATTGGGGAACCTAGTAGCTAACTCCGCCCACAAGTAGATAGCCTCCGGCACTCTACCAAGCCACTCCTTAAACGTCGGCATGTTTGAAGGCTACCCGGCTCCAATTAAGAGCTTAGCGGAAGCAAGGTGAAATTCTCATGATCTGACCTCAGGTCACTTGGGGTCGTTAACGGTTAGAGGTGTGAGATCTCAGGCAGACAACTGGCGCCTCTCAGATCCTTGTCTGTGACTCATGTACTCTATATATATTTTAAATAAACTAACCCAAACACTTTTACAGTGTTACATTGTTCATTTGATGCATCACGCTATTGTGATTTCTGTGTGTCTTTAGGTGGTTTGGACTTTGTGGGAGTTTCCAGCTCCTTTGG